CTCTTGACTTGGCCAATGCAATGTATTGTTAATCTGGTTGAATAAAGGACTTTGACTTTGACTTTGACTTTGAGGAAAAGCACTTTTCAAAATGTTTTCCCCTGTTTTCAAAACTTTTATTATTATTTTTATTTCATTAACATTTGAAGTTTCATAAAATGTCCATGGTAACGCAATATCTTTGGTATTTTTTTTTTAAAAGAGCAACTTTAGTGGAAAAACACAAAATCCTGTCACGACCATAACATACTTTTAAATTAATATTAAAAATAGTTAATATTATTTTTATAACTATGTTTTGCTATAAACTAATTTACCTTTATGACCATTATACAATAAAAAGGTCACTGAGCTTTTGGTATATTTGGTCTCTCTAGAAGAAAATAAAAAAACTCAAAAACTTGAAAAAAGCCAATAAAATCTTTTTAAGTTTGTATAACTCCGAAAAAACTTACCTGAGACCCGAAAAATCGTTATGTTTGTATAGAGGTGTGCTTCTTTTGTGTATAAAACATTGAAATATGACGATATTTTAATTTTTGAAATTTTTATGATAGAAATCATAAACGTGATGGTCAGGGACAAGCGGTACGGTCGTGAATTTTCTGAAATAATCTAAATCTTTCTAAGCAATACTTCAATTATACTGTTAGTTATAATAAAAATATGTGTTTCAATTGAACTAAACTGTTCAATTTACAATTATATTAAAGTTATTGTCACGACCAAACACACTATAATCCATAAGGCTGGATTGGTCGTGAAAAAACCTGCAATGGTCGTGAAACTTTGGTCGTGAAATTACGTGTTATTTGGCTATGTTCTGGCGGTAGCCCTGCACCTCATGTTCGAGGATACAAAGTGGACTTCTAGATTAATCTAGCAATTGAAATATCTTATAAACAAAAATTAACACCATGTCTACTTCATCGAATTTCTACATACGGTCATGGACACACCAAAATTACAAAAAAACACAATCTTTCCTTTATTAATCTTGTAATTCCTCCTTTCAACTCGAAACGACCGGCACTACAATCCTGACGTACACCCCGAACTAGTCTCTCAAACCAACTGACTCCATCGACGCCAGGCTTGCCACTGTCGTGCTCCAAAGTTGAAATTTTTTCCCAAATGGTCGTGACGCCAAATCGAGGGACAGACTTATTTTGTCATGGTAGTCAGTTTGCAATGACAATAAAATTATAATATGCTCCTTTTTTGTAAGTTTAATAACCATTGATGACATAAAAATATGGCTTTATATATTTCGGCATGAATAATTAGTCTAAAAACAGCGTGAAAGTTGGAAAATGTACCCTAGGGACACGTCATGGTCGTGAATTCCGAGACTTTAAAAATACGAAAAAAATACCTAGAACCTATTTAAAACCAAATAAATGTGTGTAGCATGTTGCCCCCGTCCCAAAAAATATTAAAACACATAATAATAAACTACAAATCCAGTATCCACGAAGTAAAAGGCCAGGGACATGAAAACGTACGTTTTTAAATTTTCACTCACATACATACTATATGTTGGCAGAATTATTCAAATTTTTGTATTAAAACCAACGAGTAAAGAACGCACAGTGAAATTTATCTATTGCATATTTCACAAGTGAATGGACAACTAGACAAAAAACGCCCATCATAACAGGCTATAATTTTGATTTTTTACCATAGGATGAGAAGTATTTAATTATATTTACACTATCCAATAGTATTAAAGTCAATAGTATTATGTAAGCACCCACTAAATAACAGAGTGATCTCAGTAACATTCCAATGTCAACATGAATGACAGAGTTTGTATTTGAAACCATAAGCTCAAGTGATATCTCTCTGATTGCCAAAATATGTTTGCACTGAATCAGACTCACTAACAGCTTCTTATCAATCAAACACTAACAAAATAATAAACACTTTCTACGTCTTTTCAATTATTCTATCAATTAAGTAAACAGTCTATAAAGGAATAAGCTAACCTACTGTAGTAATAATTTAATTTTGATCATCTAAACTAAGGATAAATGAAAACTCGACTTTAGGAGTGAAGAAATTGTATTGAAATGTCTAATTGTTAAGGTTGTCATATTCTGTGATCACTGAAATGAAATAATATAGCACACCCTTAAAACTGTGAATGAAAAAAAGTGCAAAAATACTATTTTGAATAAATACCCCTCTTTACTCAAAATAGTATTTGTGTTTTTTTTTTTATTGAACTTATATATGGCTTAACATTTTGAGCTTGTAGTTGTCTTAATCCTAAATTTAATGTACAGTAGACTTCCCTTAAACCCCACTCCTCGGGACCGAGGCCAGTCCGGATAACGGGTTTTCTGGTTAAACCGACGTCCCCAAAAACTGGTTAAAACGGACCGTTTAAATGCACTGTATACAGTAATAAGGTGCGTCCGGTGCATAGCGATGATCACCGTGTGATGGTCGCTGGGCGTCGATCGCTTTAAGGCCTGTTTTCCAAGAACGTGTCTATTCTGTTCAACAGTTGGTAGCTTATTGTGTTAAATTCTAACTAGGCCGGTTTTGTGCACCACGAAAGTCAGGGCCAGTTTAACCCATACGCGAACTACGCGGTCGAACTATGGCGCCAGAAAAAGGTGGCGCCCACGGGACACAATTTTTTTTCAGAAGACAAAATTCGAAACAAGTTTACTGACCAGTGAACAACTTAGTTTTGTTTTTTGCTCAGAGTTCAGAGTTCAAGTATCCAAAGCACCACACCAAAAGCTTTTATTCTGTTTTGTACCAACATCACTTGAAAAATGTGTATACTTATACAGCACTTCAACTCAAGGACTCAAGGCATTGATTTGCACTATTTGCAGTTTCGATTTGTAGTGAGCTGACGCTGGGCAGCGTAGAGCGCGGCACCTGTGGGTTTCATTTCATGACTCTACAGTCTACTCGAGATAAGCGCGCTCCCGCGCAGCGCCACTTGTCACAACAAGAAACTCCCCCCTTCCTTCTTCCCCCGATCACTCTCCCCTGTTTTTCATTGTAATAGGCTTTATAAAAACTTATATTGTATCCAAGTTATCCTGTAAAAATTGATTTCACATTTAGAAATAAATTGTTAACTTTGGGTTTTGCAAAAGTGTATGATGAGTATAAAAGTGTAAAAATGTAAAATTTCTGTGAATAATAAACAGTAGTTGAAAAAAGTATTTTATTGCAAGTATTCTTCTAACCTAAACTTATAAAAAAGTTATTTCCCAAATATTTTGGGAAAAAATTTCACAAATAGGGTTCAGTTATGTTCATGGGGGGGGAATTCTAGATGGTGCTGATTCTGGTATTCGATTAACTCTGAAAAATTCCTAGAACCGGCCCTGATGACAGTTAGCTTTTACACTAAGGTGCAAAATGGCTTTTTTTACTAAGGCTTTTTAGACTAAGGTCAAGTATGACATTTTTTTATCTAAATTTTAAAGGCTTAAACATAAACAATTCTAATAAAAAACCGTTTAAGTTAGTTTTTCCTTAAAAATAATATTAAAATTAAAGCTTCGTATGCACTAGCGATCATTCAACACAAAATGTTTGCTTAACAGTAAATATAAACTTGAGAGCACGGGAGAACACAAGCACAACACTGCAATAGACGCAATAGACGCTGGCCATCCCGTCTGCTCCCAGAGCAGTGCCCCGCGTCAGACGCTTCTTGGACAACAGGCCCTTAAATTTAGACTAAAATTTAGGAGAGCTTTGTATTCAGACACGTGATCACTGGTCTCAAATCTTTCCCACAAGAACCATCGTTTCAATACTGCCCACTTCCTACCAATAGTTTGATAGTTTAACTGTGCTGATAAAAATTGTCCGGTGAAAGAGATGTCATTTCCGCCAAGTGTAGTCCGGTTAAACCGATGTCCGAAAAGGTGTCCGGATAAGAGGGAGTCTACTGTATTCGGAGAACTGGGGCTCTCATAAATTCAGATTTTACTTTTATTTTAAAAAAATTTTAAAATAATCTACACCTTTAAATCATTTTACATCATTTTATTTATACAGGGAGACAATTAAGTCTTAGGACGACTTTATAACTTAAAACGAAAAGAGATATCACAACCAAATTTTACATATCATTACTGGTAATAGTAGTGCTTTTGCTTTTCTGTGTACATGGTGATCGGATGTCACCTATGGGGGATGGTTCATAGGGAGTAAGTTGAAAATCTTACAGGTAAGCATAAATTGATATTTACATAAAATCTAAGACCTTATTGAACAAAAAACAATGCCGAAACCCGATCCTCAAATGGACAATCCAGTCAAAAATGAAAGCCATCCAAAGATTTCTTCAATCTGCCATTTTCGATCTTCTAATAGCAATAGAAACTCATGATTATTTATTTTTTTATTTTAAATAACATTGGAATAACTTTTATAAAATTGTTCTTAAAATAGAACAAAAGGCAACTGTAAAAAAAAGTAACTCAAGAAATAAAAGGTGGTAAAATTAACATTACGTAATACTTGTACCGGAGAGATGACATTTTAAAATTGGCTGCAATTAATCTATAAGAAATAAAAATCTATAAATCTACCCACAAATAATCCTTTGCCTTTCATTACTATTGACTTATTTTTTTGTGTTCTTACTTATACATTTTGTGGTTTTAGATACACATCAATGATAAACATAGTGATAAATACATAACCTGCTATGAACATCCTACTTTATTAGACAATTCACAGTCAAAACTTAGACTGTAGTAGATCTATCTTACTGTATAATACTCATAAATCAACAGTTTCTCCCTCACCAGTTGTATAATTCAAAAAGTTCCAGGGAGAAGAATTTTGGGTGTTATTTTTAGGAACAACACTAGCAGTACAGGAAAGCAGTATTTTCAAAAATAGCTGGGAGGCAATACAGTAACTCTTGTAATTTCTCTCCGCCCCCTCATAATATAAAACTGCTTAATCGATTTCAAATCAAACAAAGCTAAACGGTTTGTCTTTTTTGTTACCTCCTAAGCATCCTGCTATAAAGTCCAGCGCCATCTGGTTTTGTGGTTGAAATCAGCCCAAGTTGAACCTTAGTGCTGACCTTAGCTGCTGCACACTGAATCAGAAAATATTTTCTTTAAAGTACAGGGTTGTATTAAAATATTGGAGGTTTTTAAGATGGAATTAATGAAATATCTGAATTAGTCTTTGGAATTTCTATTTACGGATTATGTATATGTAAGACAAAATGTTTGTACCACCTCTCCTATCAAAACTCTTGAAGCTAGAAGCTAAGAGAACAGATTGAAGCTGGAGTAGGGTGTACTGTACTGATCAGGACACTCATTAGAGAGTTTGGTCTGAACTTAAGGGGAGTCGCTACTGAAAAACTACCAATTTTGTAAAAAACTTGATTTTTTTTATTATTTTTTTATCTTGTTCTATGGATTGTAAGGTTTCAGAAAAACATAACATTTGGTATAATATATATTTTTTTCACTGTGAAAAAAATATTTGAAGTGAAGCGCGCACACCTCTTTTGGGGCATCAACTAGGCCTAGTATAAACCAACGTATAAACTTCAACCGCTGTTTTCCGCGACTTTAAAATTTTGTTTTTTTTTTATATATAAGTTCTTATAACTTTTTAACTATTGCAGCTATATGAATGAAATTTTTACCACACATTGTTTATACTATAAATCAACTTTCTGTGCATGGATATTGTAATTGGGTAAATAAAAGTACATGAAAAAAAATTTATAAAAATTTATAACCTATAAATTTTTCAAAAACTTATTTTTGAAGCCATAACTTATAAACTAATTGAGAAAATAACATGAGTATGCACAGAAAGTATGTGCTTTCCTTGCTCTTTAAAATAAGATATCGAACAATAAAATTGGTTCAGTAGTTAAATAGTTATAAGAGATTTAAAAACCCCCATTTTTTCCCGCCAAAAAACTTAAAAAACTCCAAAAAGTATGTAAAAAATTTTTTTTTTTCTTTAACGGCAGTAAATCTTTTTCTAAGACTAAATGAACTTAAAAAAGTATATATGATAATTTTTAAAAGGATTTTATTAAAAATCACTAGTTTCAGTAGCGACTCCCCTTAAATTGATATGATTGACTTATGCCATACGAAACAAGGTGGCACATATTGATAATTTGTGGTACAGTACATGGGAAAAACTTGAACATGCACTGTCAGAAGATGCAAGTTGCATTCTCCTTGTAACTAAAACATAGCTGTATCCAACCACAGACTAGGGAACAAATCTAACCAACAGTTATTAGTTTCTTTTAGTTACCCCTACATTATTGTTTTCATGTTTTTCTTCAAAGAACTGACCTTTTACTTTAAGCCACCTTTGTTTAAATGGTTCGTTAATGATTACCAGTACCACTAATTTTATTCATATAGGTACTGTGATTTTAGTGGACTAATCAAATCAATTGCCCAATATTTTATCACCAAAATAAAATGCTTTAGAGTATCATCATTATTAAAATTCAGAGTAGCCTACTTATAAATAATCTTTCATGAAGCAATTTTATATAAACAAAAATATTCTGAAATATCATCACTACAATGTAGGTACTTATGGTGATATCACAGAATATGGAACTCTGTGATAACACTGAATGCAACATATAGTCTAACATATATTGGATCAAACAATGAATGTAAAGAGGATATGTAAATAGGTTAACACACAATTTTTTACATTGTAAAAATAAAAAAAAAACAAGAACAGTAAAAAAGTACATTGAGCAAAAAGCACAGCACAACACATATCATTTATCATATATTTATTTTCTGAACTTTGTTTTGTTAATTCTAAGTGTAGGTAATATATAGCTGTAATCGTCACACACATGTATTGTCATCTTTTTTTGGCCATCTGTAAAAAAATTGCAATGTGAAATGTAAAATAGGGTTTGTCGTTACAAATAAATAAATAAAAAATAAATTTAAATAAACACATTTTATGAAACTGTATTGAAGGTAATTGTAATTACATGTAATCCCTTATTGATACCCAATACAGTACCCTTATTACATTGAAATTAGAAAAACATAATTATTTTAAATTTTATTAGGCCTATCATGTATAAAATTACTTCTATCACAACACTTACTGTGTCAAGTCGTGAACCGTTGTCACTTCCAGCCCGACGTAGATTCAGCTCGCTTGCTGTAACTGTGAAGTACGGACAACTGTCGTTCCGTCACAAGAAACTTGACCATTACCTTCCCTTACCCGGTTGATGCTGAGGACACGGTCGATGGGTGAGTGACGACTGGACCCGGACTATCAGCTGGGGCAGTTATAGTCAGCTGTGACGCTATCACATCACACAGTAAGGCTCTGTCAAGTAGCCCGGGTGGGGTGCATGCACATCAATTGATTAGTGTCACGATTTTTGCTGTTTTTACGGCTCAGTGACCTTAGATTATTTCCCACTCTGTATACGAAAATAGTTTATTTATGAGCTTCATCGATTTCCACTCTATGTAAATATATGATTTTGCCCGTCCTAATTATGACTTTTCCTATCCAAACAATACCGTACTTCCCCTGTCTCAAAAAAATTATGTTCCTGTTTAGCTCAATAGGAGCACTTATCTGTATTCTTATTGTGTGAAATATTGTTTAAACAGTGGTGTTTTTAAATAAATTGTAAAACTATGCTATGAAAACTTTAAAGAGAATCACTCAACAACAGAATAATACTTCATGAACCCAAGAGTTTTGTGTGATTATATGCATCATTATGAAAAGTATCATTTACTAATCAGGATAGTTTCATTTCCAGGCTCTGTGGTTGTTACTGCTCCTGTTCATAAAACACTATCTAGCCCCAAAATGGGTCTTTTTAGGGCTAGTAAAGCGAAATATACTGTGTCATAGTCAATGGTCATAGATACTGATGGTTATTTTTTTTCTGAGTGAGTTAGAATGTGTTTGCAGAATGTTTAGGTTTTATGACAAAACCTCTATTTCATTGTAATATGATCTGATAATTTAATTGCCAATAAGATTTCTGATTTTAGTTTTGACAACATTATTTGTTTTGAAGAAATACTTGTCAGTCTTTTCTGTTCCTTGAACTAGGTGTAGGTTTATGGTTTATAATTTATTACAGTGACAAAAGTTGTTCTGAAAAGCTGGAAACACTCAATAATAAAGATATTTGTATTTATTTATTGGGTAAAAATTAAGTTTACCTTTTGTTATTGGAAACTTCCATAGCAGAACTGTCTCTTTACAACAATAATACTCTCCATTACCATTGAGTAACAGCAAAGGTTATTCCACCGGAGTTTGGTTTATTTTCATAGGCCTAATTACAAAAAGAATAATTTTTTTAGTGAATTAATCATTTAATTTGTAAACTTTTTTGTAGTTTGCACTTGGTTCATGGAGGATTGTTTGCAATATAACATTACAATTCTATCACAAAGTGTTGAACATTGTGCACTGTGCAGCTGAGCTGTTATCAACAACAAAATAAGTACTTGTTGAGGTTTGATTCATAGAGGTGAATCAAAAGTAAAGTAAATATTTCATTTTACTGTGCAACTCTATGAATTAGATTCAACAGAGAAATTGTAAGTTTGCAGGTTTACTGTGACAAAGGTATTAAGTTGTTACATTTTACAGTAAAATTTATTTATTACGGATTTATAAACATATAGTGACAAACACACAAAACACTTTAATCACATAAAATTACTCCATTATAATTTTTTTTTATATAACCTTTAATGTCATATTCCATGACTAAAGGACATGTTATGTGTGAATCACATTTTACCAGGTCAGGGTTACTATTGGCAAATAGAACGGTTGCGCCATTAATTACTATCTTACAGCTTCAATACTAGAGACTTTTTGCGTTCATCTTTTAGTATGGTTAGTCCCAGCAACCCCTGCATTACAAACTTTATTTTAACGTGTTCCTAAAAACACTAATTCATATATTAAAACCAACCAGAATTTAGATTGGTAGATTAAATAAGCATACTTGGGAATAACTAATAGAAATTCTATCAAATAGCACTATTCATTAGTTTTTTTGGCTAACTTCTATTTTATTCGTTTGTTTTTAAATTAACTAACTAATAACTTCTAACTAGTTAGAATTTTCAACTAACTTTCCCAATTATGCGGAAGCATCTCAAATACTGGTTATTTATTTCACGTGATCAGTGAGGGTTGCGTGCGGCCGTGAGAGGTCAGTGCCCTTGTAGACAAACAACGCGGGGGGTGGGGAAAGAGAAAGTCAAAGTCCAGTTGCTTTGGAATGCAGTGGGCCTGTGGAAGGGTAGTGACGGCCATTATCAACACCCCAAGCACTGATGGGTGGGAAGGGGAAATGTTTGTTTGGTGATTGATATATCATCTCAAGTGTCAAAACATTGTCTTTAGTTGATGTTCATTATCTGACAAGTTTTATGTCATTTGTTTATGTTGTAGTAGGTAATGTAAATAAATGTGAAAATGTTTGATTAAAACACAAGTACCAGGGGACCGATCTTGCTCGAGGTGTTTGATTTGTTCAAAAGGTAAAAAATAGAGCTTATAAGCCTACAAATATTTTCAGTCTTACTACGATTAATTAAGTAGTAAAGTCAATTCGTTTTTGTTAGACATCCACTTATCATCAATTTAGTCTACAAAACTTTTTAATTTGGACGATCAATCTATAAAATGTCCACAATAAGCTTCAATCAATATAAAACTCATGATACTTAACATCTGTTATCTGACGACCGTTATTGCATTAAGTCACTGGGATCGTGGAACGTTGCAACTATAATAATTACGGGATGGTGTAATAACGCATCAATTCGTGCGGTGCATCGTCGAAAAATACAAATCTCCTTGGCCTTTCCTTTAGATTTTTAGTTCAATGTCAGTGTATATTGTTTTGCAGTAAAACACTTAATGTTTTTGAACAGTCGTAATTATCCCTTTGGTTAGTAAGACATCATACAATGCAAATGTATTATACAAGCAATTTTCAATAGCATTGAAATTCGAGGAAATCGTAGGAGCCATTTTTTAAATCATATCTTGCGCAATCTTTACTCATATTATAGTATATATTAGTAACCAAGACGTGACATTAAAAAATACTTTAAAACAACTGCCCAGTGAACAACTAAATTTCTACTAAAACTGACTTTATTTTAGTTACTTTTTACGGGACTAACTTATAACTTCTAACTAGTTAGAATTTTTGACTAACTTTCCCAAGTATGTAAATAAGTAGGCATACTTTTAGATTATTCATACTTATGAATCAGTAGAAGAATTTTGATTTTTATTAAATTCTATACGGTATTTGTATTTTTCACCACCAACACTTCAATCACTTTTGTATTAGGGTTGTAGCTGTTGCTAGTCACATATTAAACGTAGGTAGTCTCCCAACACTCTTAGGCGTTAATTTGTTTATGTAAAGCAAAATCTTACAAACGTTTCCCTTTTGTTAACAAGAACATAAAAACAATCATTCAGTACAGAAAAAGATTTTTGTTCTGATAGGAAACAAATGTTATTTTTATCTGGTTTTGATTGACAAATATGATATGGTAATTATGATGAGGTTAAGTTCATCATATACAGAGACTCTTTGTAAAGGTCGACCAGGAAATAGCCAAAGACAAAGTTTATCTAAATGGTAATGTCTACGGCTGTATCATTTTCTGTGGTTTAGCAAACTTCCCACAGGAAAATTGGCCATTAGCATGGTTGCTCAGCATGAGACTAAAGGTTATTTTTGAGATAAATTTTCATCTATAGAATTTACATAATACATTTTTACAGGGGAAACCATAACACTCAGACAGTTGGCTATAATAACAATAAAACAGTACCTAACTGATTTTAATTTGTAACCAAAACAGCCTAAAAAAATCCTGTTGGTCTTTAAACTTTCTTACAAGCTTAGTCAAACAAAACAACAGTGTCTAAGTTTGGTATAGAAAAAACAAGTAGGCCTACTTGTTGAACTTGATGCTTTATATTAGAGGTATTTTCTTTTACTTTGCACCTCTTCGAATAAGATTTAAGAGATAAATTGATCGTTAGTTGTAGTTTGTAGAGTTTTATGACAAAGTTATTAAGATTTTACATTTAAAAACCACTTTTTTATACTTCTTGCTAAAACTAATCTATAAATTAATAGGCAAGCATGTTTCTTTAAAATCTTTTTTCTCAGTTTGTGTACATCGTAGGGGAAATCTACGCATATTGTTAGAAATATATTTTCCTGTTCCAGAATCCCTTTATAAATTAAAATAGAGTCATAAATAAGCAGAAAAAATAATTTTTTTTTTTTAAATTACACGGGCCTTATGGGTTGCCATGTTGGTGACAAAATAACAACAAAGTATAAACAGAAAATCAAAACAAATGAAAAAAAATCCAATCACACGTTTTATTTACAGGATGGGGTGAAAATAGAGAAGTCTGTACAATAAATATTTTTGGTTGAGTTTTCGACCATTGGACGACCTCTAGTTAATATTATTGTACTAATCACATAACTTACACAGGAGGCATTGTTTGATCATAAGCAGGTAAATGAAAGAGAAACATGATTTGTCAATCTTTATTAACACAAAATTTCTAAAATTAAGTCTACAACTTTGGTACAAATAGCATTTACTTAAAACTGCAATCATCAGAGTCACATAAAGATTTGAAACAATTATATTCTTAAGTTGTGTATACAAAATATGCCTAAGCAGTTAAAAACCGAGACACTTTCAGTAATATTTAATACACGAAAAAGACAAGTGATAACCGCTCAAGCAGAGGGAAATAACCGACGATTATGGATGCTGCTTCTCCTATCTATTATATTAGACAATATTAAAATAACACCTAGGTGTAAAACTGTAAACACATGAACACCGCCCAGTAAATTAACGAATCGGGAGGAACAACTAGCTTAGATAACGTCGCTTAGCACCAGGATACTCATTCTCCCGAGTAACGGTGTCAGGGTCTGTCAAACATACACCAGGAATACAAGGAGACACATGGCTGGACTTGATATTCACATTCATTAAAAAAAAATCTATACAAATTAAATATCGAACAAAACACATTTAGTGTATAATGTACAACGATTTAGATTCATACAAAAACTAAAAGTATCCGACGAGATATTAAAATACTTAGTATATTTAATGGCATTTAAATAGACAAATTTACGATTTTTGCTACAGCTGTAAGTCCGTTTCGATAAGACTAGTACTTAGTGTTACGCTTAGAGCTAGAGGTCTACAACACCGAAAGCTATAGAAAACTGGACTATATCATCTCAAAATATATAATATTCTATCGAAGGAAGTTAAATGCCTTTGTGTAAGATAACGAAGTAGGTAACATGACAAACTGAGACTGTTATGTACAAAAGAAACCCATCATGCACAGAGGCTGCTATAGTTGGCAAACAAAGCTTCCGTCTTCGGCAAATAAAACGTTTTCAAGCTATATCGGCAGATGGAAACCGACGACAGACACGAAAACTAATCTACAAATTGTTTTCGATGATTTCGAAGACTCAAAATTCCAATATTTATATATCGTAATTATTTCTCATAATCCTAACGCTTATATCGATAGTTAATGATTAATATATTACAAGTTGCAAAACTAGGTATACTTAACAATTATTGAAGAAAAGCCTAACTAAAATGTAATATACATCGATGGATTCGGGGGCATCGAGACGCGACTAGACGACACATCGCGTAGAGACATAAATACGATCATGACAAATCCATTTATATCACTTAATAGTATAATGACATATAAAATACAAACTCAAGTAAACTCCAAGACCTAATGGTTTAGTATCTACACTCCTAAAGTCTACGTCTAGCGCTGGATAAAGAAACGTTTCAGTCAAGTTGTTTCAGTCAATTTTATTTTCTGTGTACCTTCTAACGGACAACTTAACGAAAAATCCTACTTCTCTTATCCGGCGGGACTGAAGCGACAACTCGTCTTAAACATTACTGTATCCAACATTTGTGCCCTCACAACAAACTCAACAACGTAGAAATGAGCGCGAAATGAAGCGGGAAGAAATCAATACTTAATTAATATACACACAACGAAAGAAATATCACAATGTTACATGCTTTTATAATGTTTTGAGCTTAGTATCGTGACGGCAGACCGATGAGGGACAATCGACGATACTGTGAAAGTTTGGACACTACAGGAAATGTGCTGGATCGTTGAAGGAAGACAAATTATCAGCTTTTCAAAAACGGCGTCGCTTTTAGTTTTTTGAAACTAATTCTAAAACTTAAACATTAAAAGATAAAAACTAATCTAGTTTTAAAATTTGACTCAGTATAAGTGCTGTGAGAAAAGATTGATTTACAACGAGACAAAACCATAAGTAAAAGAAGGAAACTTGATATCTTATGACTGTCGAGCTCTGACTATTGAATCCTCCCAACAATTTCCCGCTACTCAGTACAAAGTGTGCCCAAACGTTGACTGCCGCTGCCGCTCTACGCCTCGGACTGGCACTAGAGGTTACACTGCCACAGTATCGTAGGTTGTGAGCCCTCCGTTTTGGAGTTGTTGGAGCCCTGCTTCGTTTCTGAAAGAACAACAAAGAACCATTAAATCTGTATCTTTGCTATCTCACTCATCAGAAGTCATCAGTTCTTGGAACAAAGAAGGATACAAAGAAATTACTAATGATAGAGTAGTAATAATAGTAAACCAATTTGGTTGTTTGGATTTGGTTAGGCCTATGTATAAAACATAATTAATGCATATAGACTCACTTTTGTTATTTAGTTTTAACATGTTATGGCCACAACCAGGATAAAACAGCAATACTTTAGAAGCTAAAGACAGACAGTTTCTTCACAGTTACATACCTTAGTAAAATTGTAATCATAGGATATTAATATAATAATCTTATTTTCAAACGGGGATCATGTTATTAAACAACTATATCATAATTGTATGTGAACTATGATGTTTTTATGAGTGTGTCCACGATAACCGTTATTTGTCATATACAAACTTTAAGCTAAAAAAAATTCATGTAGAAATTCATTTCATTTTTGATAGTTAAATTGTTTTGTTTTGCTGAAATTTTAAATGTTTTATTACTAACCTTGAAAAAATCCTAATTTGTCTATTTAATGATTCTCTTAAACACATAGTCTTGGCTGGTGATCTAAATGTTGATATCCTCAAAACCCATGACCCCGAAACTGTTGAATTGATTAATCTCCTTAGATCATTTGATATTTATTGTGTTCATGAAACCCCAACCAGATTTAAAGCTTGCCTTGATGTTGTAGCCTCAAACATTACATCTGACCATGTTGAGGTTAGGTTACTTAACCAAGATATATTGTCGGACCATGCGGGTGTATGGACCACATTTACCCTGGATTCCTTTACTTTTGACGAAAGTAGAGATAGGCCCAGTCTAAAAAAAAGAGAAGTAGAAAAAAAGCGCATCTTATCTCATGAGAAAATTAATGACTATAAGCAAATGCTATTATCTGCAAACTGGATGGGTATCTACACTAATGATGTAAATATATCTGTTAATGTGTTTTTAAATATACTGTCTATGTACCTGAATTTAAGTTGTCCAAAAATGTCTGTAAATAGTAGTTTTAAGGGTAAAAAGGGTTCACTGGTAAAATGGTTTACGCCTGATCTAGAAAATATGCGTAAATTACTCCTTGCACTGTACGACAAATGGAAAAGCACATGTGACCCAGATGACAAATTAATGTTTAGCAAATTTAAGGCACAATATAGGCAAGAAATTATAAATGCAAAAATAGAAGCAAATGGTAGGTTTATAAGTAAATCGACAAATCAATGTAAAGCTGCTTGGCTGGTTGCTAAAAAGGAAGGTAACTTGGTATCAACAAAGAAACAGATTATACCAATTTCACCTGAACAAATGAATAACTTTTTTGTTAATGCTTCCAATGTTCTAGGTAATGACCAATCTGTAACTAATACTGATTATAAAGAGTTTTTAAATAATAACATAAATCTAGATTGTAGTAGGCCTAGTATTAACTTTAAGGTCAATTTGGTTGATGTAAATACTGTTATGTGTGTTGTAAATAAAATGAGTAACTCTAAATCTGAAGATGTTTACGGAATGTCAAACTTTTTAATTAAGAATATAATTCATGTAATTGTAATACCACTAACTTTTATTGTTAACTTAGTTCTTAGCACAGGCATATTCCCTGAATGCTTAAAAGTGACAAAAGTTACACCCATCTTCAAAAAAGGTGATGTAAACAAACCTGAAAACTACAGGCCAATTGCAATCGTTCCTATTATAAGCAAGGTTATAGAACACTGTATTGTAAACCAGCTCAATGATTATTTTGTAAGTAATAGTTTGTTTTATCCTTTTCAGTTTGGCTTTAGGCCTAAACACTCGACAATAGATGCTGTTGAAAAAGTAGTTGAATATGTTTTAAATGGCTTTGAACAAAAACTCACTGTGGGGTCATTGCTTATTGATTTAAGTAAAGCTTTTGACTCTGTATCACACACAATCTTATGTGACAAGCTAAAGTCTTATGGAGTAGCTGATAAGGAATTGAGGTTAATTCAAACATATCTCCAAAGCAGAAAACAGATGGTTAGCTTTAATAATATGAATTCCGAATACCTAGATGTTACAGTAGGGGTACCACAAGGCTCTGTCCTTGGTCCTTTTTTGTTTTTAGTTTTTGTTAACGATTTTAGCTCTAATGTCTCTACTTTTTCTGTGTTGTATGCTGATGACACCACCCTGGTACAATCTGATATAGATTTGGTGGGTGTTCAGAACAAACTTGACATAGCCTTGATGGAGTCAAAATCATGGTTCTCTGCAAATATGTTGGCTGTGAATGAAGGTAAAACAGAGCGCTTAATTTTTACACTAAGGAACCATTGTGATTTAGATTTAGATAATGACTTGTTCAAGCCTGTAAAACTGCTGGGTATTACTCTGGACAGTAAACTCTGTTGGGACGAACATGTACACAACTTGTGCAAAAAACTTGCTCGTGTTACCTGTCTTTTAAGAAAACTTAAAACTTGTGTTAATTCTGATGTTCTTTTTATGGTTTATTTTGGTTTGTTTCATACCCATCTTATTTATGGTATAAGACTATGGGGCAATTCACCATCAGCAAAACAAGTGTTTGTTTGGCAAAAAAAAGCAATTAGGGTTATCTGTGGCCTAAATGAAAATGATTCATGCAGAACAGTCTTTCCTGAACTTAGCATATTTACTCAACCTAGTCTGTTTATTTACTATAATCTTATATTTGTTAAAAACAACACCCATATCTTTCAAAAAACCTCTACTATTCATTCTCACAACACCAGACAAAAAGAGGACATTGTTAGACCTAGTATTAGACTTGATAAGTATTATAAGAGCCATAGTTACCATCAAATTTTAATTTATAATAAACTGCCAACCAATGTTAAAATGTTACCACCTAAGAAATTTATCCATGTTATTAGCAAGTGGCTTAAAGTTAAGGCATTTTATACCACTGAAGAGTACCTGAGCTGTGACCCTCAAGACATTATCTATTGATTTTATATACTTTTGACGACACCTATTGTATACTGCTTATTTAATGGTGAATAAATTCTTGATTCTTGATTCTTGATTCTTGAAAATCTTAAAACACATTTACTTGTCAATATACATCAACAACAACTTAAATGGAAAATAAAATAGCAATGAATCTCCAAAAAAAAAAAATTTGTTTATAAAGTAAAATTGCTAACTCTGCAAGTGCTCCTTCTACTTATTATTGCCTCATATGATGAAACTTTTGCTTGAACTTTGCAAAATCCAGATTCCATTGTGCCTCAATTGAAAACTACACTTAGAGGTCCATTCTACACAGGTATAAAGTCGTTACATTTTCAAGCATTTCTTACTAAAGTGTAATGGTTTATCAACGACAGACTAAGTATAGTCTATGAAAACAATCTTACTCCTCTGGCTAGAAACGCTAGAGTTTAGTAACGTCTCTGAAACGTCCATGAAGAAGAGAAGGCCCCTAAATGGGGAACTGCCACAAAAAAAAGTAATAGTTAAATGGGATGATGGGATGGATGATCGGATGATAGGTGAGTTCTAATTCTACGGGGAGAAACTTACGGTTTCCTGTTGAGAAAACATGAAACAAACAAGTGCGAGTTACACAAGACGTCACGACAACAACAATCACAGGCAATCAAAACAATCAACTGAGAAATACTGATAAATGAACTACTACTGACATATATACAGTAACCTAGGGATAATCGTAAAACAGGTTATTTTAAATGTCGGAATGTTATTTCAAAGAGCTAAAAAGTACAGCCCAAATCAAATCTTGATTATGGAAACAAGTATGTTGACAGAATTATGTTTTAATTTTCAAATTATCTTGTTAAACACAAATTAATATTGCAATGTTGAGTGTTATTACGAAAATTGGATTATGTTGGTTTTGCTGCCATTACCTTTGGATTTTTAAAAGGAAAAGTAAATCAATTTTTTTGTGGTTTTAATAAAATAGACTGCGCAGACGCTAAGTGCTGGACGCGTGAGGCACAGATCCGCGCCCCTACCTGGCTTGTATTTCATTGCTTCAGTGTGAGCTCAACATTAATTGGGTAGGTTATCACTTTTGCACGTAGGACAGTTCCCGCCATTTCATTGCGTGTTCACTGTGTCCCGATCAACAAAGGTATAAACCAAAAACACTGTATACTGATGAGAATGGAAAATTGGAATGTATGGCAATAATTAAAACATTCTGTATCTGTAGTAATTTAATTTATTTATTGGGATTGCCTAGTAAACTGTTAATATCAGAATAATATAATATAATTTAATAATATTTTACTAATCTTTTTCTGCTTTACAGTTAAATTATTAGACGTTGATTACTCGTTGGAGTCTAATGCCGACTGGTGCACAATCTAAATGTCTAATATTTTATGCAATATTAATGTAGGTAGTAGTGTGATGTAACTTTTATGCTTTATTTAGACATCTCTACCAGACAATTGAGGTTTTGTATCTTGATCCGATGTTGAAGCGCTATGCTTTAATATACACATAGTCATCAATGCCTAATGTTTGAACCGTCAAGATGAAAAAGGTTAGTAACATACATTTTTATCAGTTTTTATATCAATCATAATCTTTTATTATTTTCATTAACTTGGTATTCTGCAAAAAAATATATTTATACTACATTCCAATTAATGTTTTGGGAATACTAAAAAAGTATATGGAAAAACTGTAAAAATGTAACTAGTTGTAAAGTAAAAGTATTATTTTTTATTTTACATGTTTATTTTAGCATCTATAAATTGGAGTTGCGGTTTTTATTTCCCGAGAAGGTAATGGCAGCGTTAGGGGTGAGTGAGAGAGAGAGAGAGAGAGAGCGACACTGACCTCTCAATCAGTTTCCTCATCTCTTCTGTGGTCATGTCCTTGGAGTTGGCCCTCACACTGACTGTAAAACGGCAAAAACACATGTAAACTGGCCTCACATTCACGGGTGCCAACAGAAAAAAACATAAACAGACACTGTGACCAACAGAGGGGCAAACAACCTGGGGTGATCAACATCGGAGAACTGTTCAACCCTTCGAGTCTTTCTGTTTGGACCCACCATGTTCAATTTATGGGATACGATTCATATACGATTGTTCTTAATCAACGGTGAACCCCTTAGGCTTGGAAAACGGGTTAGAAAAGTAACAGTTATGCAAGCTTTCAGGGAAAGTCTAGGTAACTTAAGAAGGTTAAACAGAGGAATCCATACATAATAAACATCCCAGTTTGTGACTTAATTAAATAGAAGAATAAGATTGACATTCCTTTGAAGTATTATTTTTATTGCTGGGATAAAATATTAATGAATACTGAATAGACATGTTTCTGTTACACAATCACACATTAAAATTTACATTTCATCCTGAACACTTTTTCAAGTGAGAAGACAAATTAAGATTCCTTTCTCTAAAAACTTGTTTTTAAATTAGAATAAAATATAATTATCTATCTATATATTAATAGGCAAGCATGTTTCTTTAAAACCTTTTTTCTCAGCTCGTGTGCATCGCAGGGAAAATCTACGCATACTGTTGGAAAGATATTTTCCTGTAGATGTGCAGAATGCTTTTAAAAATTAAAATAGGCTAACAAATAAGAACAAAAAATGAATTTGAAAACTTCAAAAAATTAACATGGACCATATGGGTTGCCATGATGGTGACGAAATAACAACAAAATGTAAACAAAAAATCAAAACAAATGGAAGAAATTCCAATCACATGTTTTATTTACAGTGTGGGGAGAAAATAGAGAAGTATGTACATTAATTATTTTTGGTCGAGTTTCGACCACAGGACGACCACTAGTATGGATAAATACACTAAAAAATTATTATCTGCATTCTTAATTTTCTCAGAAAGCTTTTGCTGACCTGAATTCCTATTAAAAGTATTTCCCAAAAAGGTTGGACATCTCTAACATCAAATAGTAACACCAAAGTAAGAATTGAAACTGGAGGGTGTAGTTGTTTACTACACAAATCAATCTAGTACCCACTTAGAGGATTTTAAAACTAAACTGGGTTTATTTGGTAAAAGATTACCATTTCCTGCGAGACAATACAAAAGATAGCCATCAAGAATCGCTTAACAAAAAGGCAGTGGCAAGGGTCCAGTCATTCCAAAATGTTTGCGCTTTTCGTCCAAAAACACACTTGAGCTAACTTCTCCTCAGGTTTGAAACAGTTCTCCTTTTTTAGTGCAGTATTATATCCAGTGACAAAGTGCTTAAAGGGTTTATTCAGTGCAAAAGTGTGTAACTATACTGTAACCAATGTGCAAGGAACATGTTACATACTGTTATTACCAGTTCTAACATTTTTTGATAAAAGCCCCTAACTAAGTTATTAAACATCTTAATTGATAGTTTACTGTATCCAGAATTTGTTGACAGATCTTTTTAGTGTAGATTTAAAAGGATTTTGGGTTAAGTAAGGTAAACATGAATATTTTTTTACTGTGGTAAAAATTACATTCACTGTTCTTTATTCTATTGATGTCGGTGATAAGCTGCAGTTTTGTTCAAGAAATCTTTAAAATTTCATAAATTGTAATAAAAAAAAGTTGTTGCTATAGTTAAATTTAACATGTAAAATAAAAATACTGATGTAAGTGTAACTTAAGTAGTATGATTTTGCTATGCACATCTTTAGTATTTCATTTCATGACAAATGACCCCTGAATTGTCAGAATTGAGCACTAAATCATTTAGTTACGTGTGTTACTGCTGAGATTAATCTGCTTTTGTTTTTATAGTGACTACAACTTTATTAAAAAAATTAACATAGACTATCTTTAGGTTGAAACTCCAAGCGGCTTTACCTAGTGAAAATTTACAGAAATTATGTTCACCTCATGCAAAGTTTACATTTCCTTAACCTCCTGACAAACCCATTAGGATGTTCCCATCAGGGATGTAGAAAAGCAGCTTGAAGTTTCAACCGGAAGAGTTTAAAGTTGTAGTTAAACTACGATATCCTTCTAACAGCAATACAGTTGACATAAATCTTTGTTTTCAGTGTCCAAAGATTTATAATTAGATATTTCTAGGATTACTCAAGATTAAGAAATAATTTACTCTTTTAACAATTAAATAACAAACAAATTTCCTCAAATATTTTAATCAGATCACCACCAAGGTTTTTAAATGGTAACCTCTGATGAACACGGTGTCGGAAACTAAATGAAAATAAAGGAAGGATGCATACCTGGTCATACAATAACACCTGAGAATCTGGGACCCCTCTGCATTCCTACATACAAACATAGCATCCACTACAGTAAATACACAGAACAAACAACAAGAGTGCAAAGCTACTGTGGCCAATGAAATCAAATTAGAAAGCTTTGAACGCTTTGTGCTGAAAAAGTTCTAAACACGTTGGAATAGTACAAAGTAAATAGTTAATTGTATGAATGAAATTGTACTTTGATGTTCAAAACAACAAAAAGACTACAGACAAAACAGCGAAAAAGAATAATTACTATCAAAGAGAGACTAAAATTAAAATTTTTTATGATTCAAAATTATTGTAAATCAGCCGTAGCAAAATTAAACCATTCCAGCTCTGATAGGAATGACACAAGGCTGTAAAATCAAAACAAACGTTTTATGTCTCAGACAAACCTGAAAGAAATTAAAAGTAAAAACTCAGTTTAGTATTCACCTTGCCGTATGTGAAACCATTGACTATGGATACTAAAGTAGACATCTCATCTATAAGGACCAGCTGTAATTAGATTTTTCACACAAAAAGAAAATAGTTATTGAGCCTCTTTTAAATAGTGCTACTGCTATTGAGGTGTTATTTTCTCTTTTGGTTCCTCATAAGAAGAAGTATGAAGATTTTATAGTTTACAATAGATTCGGTTTTGCATGGTTAAAAATTGGTCTAAAAAGCTAAGTACAACAGAACATAGAACTAAAACCATACAAATCAATTGAGTACCACATTTGGATAGTAAACAATCAGATAATTGAGTTTATGCGAAATTTGGAGATCTTAAAGAAAATACTTGGAGCACCAAGGAAAAATGCACGCCTTTGCCAATTACAATCGCGGACGTTGATGATAATGTTTTGCAAACTCAGGAGACAACAATAATGTCTACAAGACCGCAAAAAACGTTAACAATTTTACCCCAATCATGTAAGAGGATAATGTTTAATAATGTTTCCGTGATTGCGGGAGCATTGATGTTGTCCAATTTTTAAGCAGGGATCTTTCACGATAAACATGAAAATAACATTATTTATAAACTCAACATACTGCAATGGTGAACTGAGTTTAGATGTAAGATTACAATAACAAACTTTTAAATCAACAGTTAATATTTTAGGTTAGTAAAATTTGCCAGCATGCCACAAATGTGAAAAATAATCCAGGTTTCTAATCTACATAATCAAAACTGAAACTACTTCATACAATTCTACTGTGCATCAGTTCCATGCGAATGTAAATTTTCACATCACAGTCTATTTCAGTTATATTAAAAACCTTTCTGTAATCATAAAAAAAGTTAGTACTGTGGTTTTTTCTACCATGACAAGTCATGTAAATTAGTATTTCAGATGTGAGTAGGCCTACTATCATAGACAAAATATGTTTTAATCTCTTAGTTTGAATAGTTGTATTAGTTGTGATTAGATACCAAAATGCTAAGGTATAACTTGACAACTACATAAGATACCGGTACATTTAAAATATTAACAACAAGTCTTGATTATCACATTTCCTCACCCAAGAGAAATATATGTCATACTCATAAAAAATATTTTTGATGGTAGAATTTGAATTTTATTTAATAGTCTAACTCTAAAGCATTCCATTCAAACAGCATATACTTTTTAAATAAAAAAAATCAAGATGCATAATGCAAAATCATATTTTGGACAGCTTTTAAGCTCATATTTTAGTTTTAGATTCCATTTTAATCGTGTTTTGTAAACAAATATCATGTGCGGATGTATATACGAGTATAGTATAAATTAACAAAAAATACTCAACTATAAAAACTGTCCAAAATAATAAGTGTAATCAATCTACTTAAGGATCATCTAAACAGGATTTTGAGGAGGAAATTATTGGAATTTAAACTTAATAAAGTAATTCCTTATTGTTGTTAAATGCACTAAAACCAGAACATTGTTAATAATTTTACAATGTAGTTAGTGATGAGGTCATAAATGCCTACCATTTTGTTAAGTTAAAAATTATAATTGAAAACTACAATATACTGTGACATGCATACATCTTTTTGGGGTTCCGTTCAAAATAAATGTTACAAATATAATTATATTCTTAAAATGTCTTGGCGTTACCAAATCGTCTTAATAATTAGTACTTAATAATTTTCTCATCAAGTATCTTTGTGCTATATAAATATAGCACAAAGGTACTTGATGAGAAAAATTTCCATTTTTTAAAATCAGGGAGTCAAATTAAAAAAAGGTGAATTAAACTTGTATTCAAGTTAAAACACCCTAGAAGAGGACTAAAGAGACTATGTTTCATGGTACATTGCTAAAGTCCTAAGAAATTTAGGATGATCAGTTACACCAGCGATTCTATCCCCCAAAATTTACTAAAACTCTTTCACAAGGAAAAATTCAGCCAGAAACCCATGAGCAAAGGGATCAAACTGTATAACATTTTTATAGTGAAACAAAATTTCTAGGTCTGAATCTGTTCATTACACCTCAAAACATCTAGACATAACTCGTTAGTAGCCAATGGACAGTCCATATCCCTTTACTGGTTTTAACGATTTACACACTCAAACCCAAGGCTGATGATTCTGCCGGGATGTAGGGAGGAGGATGGAGAGGAACTAACCTCCGTAGTTGCGGCTGACGAGTTGATCACGATCACATTCGGCCTCTGAGATCTCGTTACTCTCCTTAGAGTCGTTAGCAGAGTTGTTGGGATCGTGGTTGCGAGGTGGTGGTGGAGGGGGTTCAGGGCTGCTGGAAAGCGGTAAGTTGCGAGCGGAACCTGGTTACAGCAAAAACAAAATATTTGACTTACACTAAACAAAATATTTGAGTTTTTTTCTTTTTTATAGCCCTAGCTGAATCAAAGATTGTATGGTTAAAATGAATAAATACTGACAGCAAAAGTTTAATTCCCGAAAATGGTCAATGGTTCTAAGGTTATCTTGAGTCTCTAGAGCATGCTTATCATTAAACAAATATTTTTAAGAGGCATTTTTTAAACTTGCTTTGGCATGTCCACATATAAGGCATGGAGAACTTATCAACAGTCTCAGAATGAACGGAATTTACATGCTACACCTTCAATTCACATATTAAGGTCTGATTCTGATACTAGCACTGCAGGGAAAGAAATACATTTTGGCCTTCAAGATCTGTTGTCTCCTTTATTCTTGGCTCTAGGGACTCTTATAGCACGCGCTTATCCCCAGTTTCTTATAAATGCATAAATATAGGCTTTGATTAGGTGATTGGATCCTATGCTGGGCATATACTAATTTCTAACTGATATCTGACAAAGTAAAGCATTCTTCTAAGTCACAGTCAGTCAATATAAGTTAAATATGAAGAAGTGCTTGTTTATTCCGCTCATAAACAAAACTTTAAATTCTCAAACAAATTTGTTGTGTATACAAATAATCCATCAAACATTTAATATTTGGAAAAGGAAAATTGGTTACATATCCATACAGATTATAAGGTCTACAAAATAATTACTTTAACTTAGACTTTAGCAATTTTGCAGTTGATGTTTTAACATTGTACTCACCTACACTCCGCCTACCCACAGAGTTGCGGCTGCCGTAATGGTCGTAAGGAGCTCCGTAAGGCGAGTACTGGCTGCCGTAAGGATCCTCCTCGGGATTACAGTTGGCAGGGTCGTCATACTCAGGAGAGAAGGTAGAGTTGGGACCTCCAACGCGGGAGTACCTACCATTAGCTCTCGGCTGTACAAACATCGGGGTAAAGTTGGAATCAATAGGTGTAACAATGTGTGAATAAGAATGTTAAACGTACAACTAACGATACTTCACTTGAAGTTGTTTACTAATATTTCAAGCTTCAACAATCCTAATCACACAACTAATTGACACGATCAGACTTATAAGTAACAACATTATTAGATGCAATCCTTGGAAATACAAATATGCGTTAGAGTAAATCAAAATTCAAATATGTGATATCTGATCAGTCTTAATATCTTAGGTGTGTATTCTTAAATATTTTGACCATTTAAGAGAAACAGTCAGGTTAGTGACTTTTATATTTTAAAACATTATAAAGTGTTTTTCAACTCATTGTATTCTTACAGTTTTATTTTACCTGCCTAATTGATTTTCACAATTATCTAGCCTTTATAAAAGATTAAAGAAAACTGTACTAAAAAATAGGCGGAGGAAGTAAAAATAAAAATAAAATTGTAAAACTAAACGAGGAATCTATATCTGTATTCAAAATATATAGGTTGTTTATAACATATGCGAGTAGTTATGGTATTAATTCGCCTGGAAATTAAGTTGCCAGTCTGATCCAGAAAAAAATTGTAGCAACTTGATAGTTAATTTTATATTTGTATGTAGTTCAGTTAACGGAAAGTGTAAATTAAGTCGCTACTGTAGGCATTGGTTTAAATGCTTAAAACTAATTAAGCGTTTTTGAAACTAGACCCAGCTAAACCTAATCGTTAACTAAGCTACACAACCTACCCCATTCTATTCTATATTCACCTAAAAATGCAACTCAGAGTCTCTCTGTATTTGTAAAATATACTTAATTAAGTAATTCAAGCCATTAATTACCATAGACTGGGAGCCACTGCGGTGGTGTACGTGGCCGTTAGCTGGGACTCCGTTAGGCCCGAGCGTACCAGAGTGTCCGTTCTGGTGAGGAAATGTCTGGAACTGCACGGCCTTGCTCGGGTCCATCTCTTCCCGGAAACCCAGCAGATGGAACGTAGCGTATGGGCAGATCTCATCCTCCATACCTCGAGAAACAGTTTCAGTTAGTGTTATCAACATAACAATGTTGTAGAATGTTATAGAATGCCAATGGATAAAGTATGACTTCATAAGGATTTAATTTATATTTAAAAAAAGAAGTATGTTTTTGGTCTATTTATGTGTTAGAAACAGTTGATTCATCATTATAATAATCACCATTATCTCATTGAGATTTATTGTTTTATTTATATATCTAACTTGGATTAATTAACTTTTCTTAAGTGTAAGGAAAAAAAGGGCAACGTGGAATATTCTGATATTTTACCAAAAAATATTTTCTTACAAATATTGTCCATAAAAATATGTTTCTGAAAATATTCCTTAAGCAGCTTAGTATTGTTGTTACCAAAATCAAAATAAAATAAACTCATATTTACGGTTTTTTGTTTATTTTTTGTTTGTTTATTGTATGAGTATTGTTATGGAATGATATGTGTTAAAGGATCTTAACATAACTGAACCCATACTCTTGTCCTATACTGGGACGTTTGAATCTATTAAAAATGTTACTGATCAACAGAACATGTTTTTAACTAAAAGATCCATACACAATATAAAATAATTTAAATTGAACTATTCATTCAATGTTAATGTTAAAGCTGAAATTCAAATACAGTAGCTTAATACGTCATACTATTTTGATAATCAGTGACAAAACATATCACCTTAGGTATATATTACACATTAGGTAAATATGACAGCAAACAACAATCATGCAATGTAGATTCGTGCATATTAGCAACAACAATAAGAAATCATGCACATGTTAAAATCTGAAATCCTAACTTACCACAATATTTTGTCGGTGGATGACCATAATGGCGTGATATATACTTAGATATATGGTTTGAATAAATAAGTTTTATTTATGATCTTTGAATAAGAGCAAACCATGCTTCTATCTTGATTCTTAAGTTAAAATGGCTTGAATCCAGAAGTTGCATGCATTACAGGCCCCAAGTTTGCATGTGACGAGACATGAGCCCAAGAGAAAACGGCATAACTCTCCTCATATAAATGATAGAATATTTAAAACATTTCTATCATTGGGTTTCTCAGTTTCTAGAGATGAAGAACTGAGTAAAACCAATTTTAAATGTTGAGTAGTGAGCTGGTCTAGTGGTAGAATGCGGTGCTTTGGTCTAACCCCTGGTCTTTTAGGCCTAGCCTGAAGGAAAGTAAATGAAAAACTGTTCTGGGCTAGAACCTAGTGTTGTTGGATGTAAAAATGGAAGAACAAAATAAAAAGACTTTATAATTTGGTTGTATATTGTTCATGCAAACTATGCCATGCCTTTACTTGTTGGTACAGTAATGCCCTTGATAAAAGCTTACCTCGCTAATCACAAAATTGTTCATATGCTCACAAAACCCACACAAAAGTTAGTAGAACAAATGCAAGGTTAATTTTACATGTACGTGTAAAGCTTCCAATGTTGTTAGTTGACAGGGCTTGAAGAAACTATGTTTGCTACAGGTAGAGTGGTTACGGGTTCATCTTTGAATTAATTATTTTGAAATTTGACAAAATATTTCTGTTTGTATACTTGTATTGCAACTGTTTAGCATTGATATTTCTAGTGTTGAGGTCAACTAACTTAGAGAGTCAATATTACAAGTATAAATATAGCTAAGTTCCATTTTTATTTGGTGCATTTTTGTGGGATTGAATGTTGACTTTGCCGCTTCTTAACAGCCAATAATAATTAACAGTCAGGTAATTAACAGCCAGCAAACATTAAATCCTGAATTTATTATTTATGTTTTGGCACTAATATGCTGTGCATTTAATGTTACGGAGACAACGTAATGAAAAAGTAAAAAATAAAGTTGTTACATAGTAGCTCTTGTCACAAAATACAAAGTTTAAAGTTAGGTTATTGTTCATCATATTTCTTTATCAGACAAAAATGCCAACTTACGCTACAAAAATCCTCCATCAATTAGCTCCAAACTACCCTCCCACTGATATTTTCATGCTTTGTGAATGGTAAAAAGGAATTAGGTTGCAGAGTGGAGAGAGGTCGCTTTACAATCCAAAGTTGGATCCTATTCAATCCTTGGAAGGATCAACTCTAGACCCCGTTATTAATTGTTGTTTGACTATCAATTAACCTGATACTTTCTAGCAACAAGTCAAAGTTAGATTGTAACAAGACCAGAGTATGAACTATTCCCATATAAAAAATGTATAAAAGGCCACATGGTGTGAAATCACAAAAATAACAAAAGTTTTTTGAAAAACAATGTTCATACTCTCTTGAATGGAAGAGGATAGTGTAAAAATATTTCTTTTCAGTATGAGGAATAAACCTTACAAAATAGATTGCACCTTTAAAAATAATTTAGGAAACTAAAAAAAATAATATTACGTCCATTCCAATTGCCAGATGAAAACCGTAACCACTCGTAAACCTTAGAGTGTAGGTAGGCTATGGTATTACCTGCATGGTGGTACATGGTTTCATCGGACCCAGGGCACGGGGGGAGCCGTCCCCTGGGGCCGTGAACTCGTAACTCTTCGTACATGTGACGGCGAGGGTCCCACGTCGTGTGTCCTCGGTAAGAGCCTCCGTGACCTGAGTAACAAGCTTACCACATTCAACACCAGTCAGCGGAACAATCACAGGAATGTGTGGAAATGCAAACCAAATAAATAAATAGTTATAAACATAAGGCCTCCGCAGGGATGTAAATAAGGATGTAACACAAATAGCAAAAAGGCCTCTAGGCTTTAGGAATTTTATCGAGGATAGCAGAGCTACCTTGGATGGGAAAAAGTCCAAACTGGCACAAGAAACACACAACTTTACAAAGATAATATTCTCTTGCTTCAACTAATATTTTCTTTGGTTAAACATGTTGTAAGTTACAGTGAAATATTCTATTTTTTTCAGTGTAAAGTTGTACATTTCTTGTGCAAATTTAAAATCCATCCTATTAAGGTTAAGTCTGCTATCCTCACTAAAATTCCTAAATAAATAGTTATAAACACAGAGCCTAGCATTATCTTGATTTCGAAACAAAATATTCAGGAACTAAATACTGATGGCACTTGTGTATATTTCAATTTAGAGCATCCGTTAAAGGTAGGGGTACTGATGACTTTGAAAACTCATTTTAATCAATATATTTATTCATTTTAATCAATAAATATATTTATTATTATTATTATTATTTTGTATACCGGTACCCTAATTCTAAATAATCACTATGAATTGTAAAGAATTTTGCCGTGAATCAATATTAGTGTTAGAGGAAATCTATTAACCATAAAACTCAAATATAATTTTTTTCACATTATTGTTTTTAATTCAACACAAGTAACATTTATTTAACAAAACAGAATTACAACTTAAATTTTTTATGAGTTGAAATGATTCCTGGATTCATCCGCTGTGGGTTATGGCTAAATAATATTTAAAAAAAACTAAGGGTGGAATTAAGGTAAACAGGTGCAAAAACAGCACAGATACCGAGCTAGGTGAATCTATTTAATTAAAAAAGGAAGGAATAAATAGTAAATAGTAATCGTTTAAGGATTTGTTGGTATAAAATAACTAAGAAAACCTATTATAGGTAATTAAAATTAACTAAATTTAACTAAAATTATGATAGGGATGGAAAATTATATTTAAGTTTTACAAAAAGATAAAAAATTACAATTTTACTTTCATTACAACTAAACAATAGACCAAAAATAACATTGAGTCATTGAAAATCTAATGGAAAAAATGTTCTTTTAAGTAAATCAAAATGATTTTAAAAATTAGTTAATTTTGTTCTTCAAAGTTATAACTACTTAAAAATTCAAACAAAAATAAATAAATTCCGTTGGTTTGGTAAAAAAAAAAATTCTAAATATAATTGAATATTTAACTTGCAAACAAAGAAATGTTTTGATTCTACTTATAAAGTAAGAAGTAAAGGGATCAAGATGAACAAAAGGGTAAATTTAATAAAACGATGATAATCGTGCTTCAAGACCAATTGGAGGGGGGCAAAGCAACACTAATTGCAGCCTTAGACCTTGAAGTCGCTTACTTATAGCTGTACCTCGCTTGATTCTATCACACGTGTTGTAGTTGGACCCAGGGACGGGAGGAAGTTTGCGGTTAGGCGGAGCGATGTATCCGAGCTCGTCTCGTAGGTCGGGCCGTCTCTTGTCAATGGTGTTGCCTCCGACCATGGACTGGTTGTAGACGATGTCGTCTGCAAAGTGAATAGACATGCAGCTACTGTACAAGTATGATGTTCAAACAAATTACCTATGAAATGAAATGAAATGAAATGAAATGAAATGAAATATGCTTTATTGTCTTTTGAATTTGTACAAATCATCGACAATGTCAAGATACAGCTAAAATTATAGCATAGTCAGGTAATTAATTAATAAAATACTTATAGCTAACTTAACAAAGGGAGACATATTATAATACATATTCTAAATGAATAATTACAACTGAAGAATCTTATTCTTAAAAAAATCTTCCAAACTATAAAATGGGTTATTGGTCAGCCAACAATAAAATTTACTTTTGAAATCCTTTATATTGTGTAATTTAATTATGGATTCAAGAAAGTTGTACACTTTAAGTGACAAAACTATGTGACTATTTAGAGTTTTACTTAAACGATGGAATTCTATTGTGGTGTGGTTCTTATTTCTGGTATTATGATCATGAGTATGGTTTCTAAATTTTAAAAGATGTTGATTTTCCAAGATATAAACTATTAAGTCATAAATATAAACGTTAATAATAGTAGGGATTTGAAGATTTCTAAAAAGTGGTTTGCTGTGGTCTCTTGAGCCTTTATTAGAGATAACTCTAACCGCTTTCTTTTGCCAAACAAGAATTTCCTCTACCCTAGCACAATTGCCCCAAAAAATTAGCCCATACCTGAAAATGGATTGAAAATATGAAAAATATGCTGTTCGGACATAATTTAATGGAATGCATTTTTTCAGACGACCTAGTAAAAATATTACACGAGAAAGTCTGGTATTTAAATAGTCTATATGAGAATCCCAAGTTAGCTGACTATCTACATATATTCCCAAAAACTTTGCTGAAAAAACTTTACTACCCTTATCACTGTTCTCAAAAAACTCTCTTGAATTATAATTTAAGGAAAATAACAATTTTTGTGATTTTTCTTTGTTAAGCAAAAGTCCATTACTATGAAACCAATTTTGTGCATTATTTAATGTTTCATCAGCCAATTTTTCAAGTTCTTTATAGTTTTTACTAGTAGCCTAGATAAAAAGGTAGAGTCATCTGCGTACAGAATGGTTTTACAATCAACAGAAGAGGGTAGATCATTTATATAGATTAAGAAAAGAAGGGGACCAAGGACTGAACCCTGTGGCACTCCCCACTTGACTGACACTTCATCTGACCATCTTCCTTTTATACAAACTGCTTGTTTCCGATTTTGCAAGTAGCTTCTTAAAAAAGATAATGGAGGGCCATCAAATCCATAGTACTGTAATTTAGAAATGAGAATATTACTGTCAACAGAGTCAAAAGCTTTACTGAGGTCACAGAAGGTGGCCTGAGCATAAGTTTTATTTTCAAAAGAGAGATGAACTTGCCTGACTAGATCGTCCAATGCATTGATAGTGGATTTTCCCTTTCTAAAACCGTATTGGTTGTTGTTCAAGATGTTGTTTTTTTCAAAATAATTTCTGATTTGATCGTAAATAAGTATTTCTATTAGTTTTCCCAACACAGGTATAATTGAAACTGGTCTGTAGCTCTGAGGTTGGTCTTTAGGACCTTTTTTGTAAATAGGACAGACTCGAGAGACTTTGAGCAAGTCAGGAAAAACCCCTTCTGATAAAAGGTTATTTATGCATATTGCCAAGGGGTTAGCCAAACAGTCAATAATAACTTTTAACAGATTGTTTGACATATTGTACACATCCACACTAGCTGATCTTTTCATCCTTTTAGTGGCACTAAGAATATCACTAGGTGTGATGGCTGACCAACAAAATTTATTACAACTATCAATTTCATATTTTTTCAAAAAATCATTACAAGAAGTGATTATACCTGGAATTTTAATAATTTGTTTGATCTTGTCTACACTGTCAACAAAAAACCTATTGAAAGTATTTGGCTCAATTTGCAAATCAGCTGTGTTTTTTATTTCACAGTTATTCTTTATTACCTCCCATGCGGCTTTACATCTGTTATTACTTTCTTCTATGTATTTAGCATTGTTTTCTAGCTTTGCTTCATTTAAAGAGTTTTTATATTGACATTTCAGTTTTAAATATTTATACCTTAGTTCAGTATTGTTCACATTTCCAGTATCTTTAAGCAAACTATACAGACACAATAGTCTTTCTTTCATTTGACCCAACTCTTTAGTATACCATCCCTTGTTCAGTTTGTTCAAATACTTAGGTTTGAATAGTTTACCTTTATTTTTATTCGGGACCATAAAATAATTAATATTGTTGATTAGTATATTAAATAAACATTGGAACTGCATATTAGCACTACTACTCTCAGACTTGGACATTAAAGATAGCCAATCATAAGTAGACAATTTTAGAGACAGATGTACATGACTTTTAATAGGTAGATAAAACTGAATGGGATCTTTTGAGACTAAATGAGATGTATTATCTATAACTAATGGTTCATTCTGCATATTAATAATAATTCCATCATGGTCCGAAAAAGGAAATTTGAACAAACTTAAAAAAGAGAGCCTAGCAGATTTTTGGTTTACAAACACATTATCTAGACAGTTTGTGCCTCTAGTTGGTGAATTATTTAAATGATAAAAGTTGTACTGTTTAAATAGATTTAACAAGTTTTTTACATTTCTTTTGCTTTTAGTAACATCAAAATTGTGGTTGAAATCACCACCGATGACAATATTATAGTTGTTCCACTGAGTTATAAAAGGTAAAAAAACATCCAAAATCCTTAAAAACTCCAAAGGTCTACCATTAGGCGAATGATACAAAGAAACAAATATAGTTTTTAAAGAATCTATAAATACGGATGAAACCTCAAAATCCAATTCCTGACAGAATTGGCTTACATCACACAATCTTGAGTTAAATTTAGTATGTACAAATATACAAGTATTCCCTCTTATATGTTTGATTCTATTGTAGGAGCTGGCACAATGAAAATTATAAGGAAAAGCTAATTTTATTTCGTCTTCCTTCAACCAGTGTTCAGAGAGACAAATAACATAAATATTTGTGTTAATTAAAAAACTCTCCAAAGCTGAAACCTTGTCTTTTAAACCTTGGACATTTAAATATAAAATATTCAGACTATCATTTCGCCTTGATGAAGGTGTACCATTATGAGCAAGGACCTTGGATGTGTTAAATACAAGGACTATTTACAGGACTAGTTACAGAGAGAGATACAGGAACACTTTTAGCACTTTCACTTGTACTCTGCTTTAGCGCCTCACAAAACGTGAGGTCGCCGGGCACTACACTTATAACTTCTCCATTCTGTGGTTCCTCCATTGAAGTTAGTGTTGGATGGCCAGACAGAGCCGCAGTGTCGTCCGTCGGTTCCAGGGCAGGAGATGGCAGGAGGGCTGTCATAGGTGGTGTGACAGTGTGGCAGTTTTCTTCCGTTGCATCAGACAAGTTCATTGTTTCTTTCTCTTGATTTAGTTGATGCCCATGGATAAAAGTCTTTATTTGGTTGTTAAATTCATTGTGTGATAAACCATTTCTCAACTTTCTCAATGATTTTTGGAAGTACGACACAATGGTGACTTTTGCTCCTGTTTCGTTTTGAAAAGTTGTAAGGTTATTTAAGAAATCAGCCAAGGATATATTGTCTCTAACACAACCAACTGGCGAACAAATCAGATGTGTTAGGTTCTGTTCCTTAAAATGTGTTGTCAATTCCTTAAAAGCAGCATAATAGTCCTTTATATTTGGTTTTCCATTATAGTTGTCTTTTGTAATTAGGCTGTACACGGTAGCACCCGGTTTCTGGTGTTGAGCTGCCAGATGACTTGAGACACGGTGATGAGGTTCAGGTTTCCCAAAGTGATTTTTGAAAATCACTGCCACCCCTGCTGTCATGTGTCGAGGGTGATTAAAGTCTGCCGATATGCTATGTGCAAACCCAACTGATTCATGATGCCGGTATTGTGCTATAATATCAAACATTGGTTTTTCTGTCAGTATCATTTTACATTGGTTTTGTGAATTACATTTTTGGTTTGTATTACATGAAGTTTGTACTTGTTGATTGCTGTATTGTTGAGGATCATTTGAAGGTGGCTGACAAGATCTGTTTTGGTTCAAAGACCACTGGGAGAGAGTTTTAATGACTACACGGGCCAGTTTAGCTCTGCCTCTATTGTTTATGTGGAGACCATGTGTCGTAAAATCTGCCCTAGTCAAAAAATTGAGATTAATTAAGAAAGTATTTTCTAATTTTGCTACTAGTTCTATTATGTATTTATTGACTAAATTTAACTGGATGTTTTCAATGCTGTTTGGATGTCTGTCATATCTTACAGGAATCGTTGTGATGAAAACTGGTCTGGTTTTATTGACAGACACCAATTTCTCCTCCAACCCTGTGAAAATGTTAGAATAATTATTATTTAGGCTGTCATTACTGCCCCCTATAACTATTAGTGGTGTGTTCAAAGTTTTTTCTATTGAGGATGATTTGATGACATCAATCAGAGTGGTATTAGGTCTTACATACCCAAACACATCTATTTTCCCATAGCTTATATTATTTATTGTGGACGCCAACATTTTCCCTTGGCTGTCTGAACACAATGTAGCTCTTATGTTATCCTCTTGTTTCTTTTGCTTTGACATATGGAGTTCAAGTGTATTATTTTTGGATTTATTTTTAGCAGTGAAGTTTTTATGCTGTGCCGATGATTTGGGCTTTGTTTTATGAGCCACATTCCTGATCTTGAAGTTTTTTAAAGCGAGTTTAGATTGCGATTGAGATTGCCATTCCTTGTCCGATTGATCTGTCCTTGTCTCATTGATTCTTTCATCATCATCAGACTCACTTAGTAAATTAAAACGATTTTGCACATGCAGGTGTTCATTTGCCTGGGGTCTATTTTTCGTTTGACCTTTCCTACCTCTATGGAATGTCCATTCCGTATTAGTTGAAGTGTAACATAAGACCATATGTAACATAAGAGAGGATTTTTTATAGCAGAGAACTTTGTAGGAGGTTTTTGTTCCAGTGAGGAGTTTTTAAGAGTAAAAATGAGAGATTATACAATAGTTTTTGATTTTTAAAACGATGTGTGTCCACAATTGGCCAATTGGGTATTTCTTTGATAAACAAACAAGCTAATTAAAGCACTAAAACTATATTCTGTTTACTTCTAATGAATATAAACAAGTATTGTTCGGTTAAAATATCACATCATGGTATGAAATGTTTTCTGCAATCCAACGAGAAATAAAAGTAGGCAAATATATTCTTTGTCATGAGCAAAAATAAAAATTAATGCTTTTCTTTGTCGATGGGAAAATAAAACTAAATCCAAAATTTACAGTGAACTGTTTTGGGTGAAGGTTGGGTATCCATAACTTTATATCCAAAAAACAACACAAATAAATTATTCCTCCAATATTTACTTTTGAATTAAGAAATGTTAATAGTTTGCTAAAACAAACATAGGCTACAAGTACTTCAAAAAATAAAGTATGCTTTCAAATAGCCAGTTGATTAACTATTCAACTTGTTCCTGGAATGATTTTTTTCATTGGAGTTTTTACAAACTGTTAATGTATATTTTAATATACACAGAAAAAAAACACACAAAAAGTAAAAAAATATATAGTTTTAATTTGTTTTAATTGTAAGAAAATTAGATTCATTACAATAAGATCATTTATTGAAATAAAAGGAAAGAGTTTCCTAATGAAAAACTGTACCTAGGCTAATTGGTTATAAACACAGAACCCAGCCTAACCCCAACACAACATAAAACTATGAGATGAAAGATGAGTCATTACATATGTCACCTCGCAGCCTGGTTTGTTCAGGGCCACGAGAGCGACGAGCAAACGCGACGCAAACAACGATGATTCCGACCAGCAGCACGACGATTGTCGCCCCAACAGGGACCACAATGTTCAAGTCCACCCATCCGGGGATCCATGGGAAGAACTGGTGAACCGTGGGTATCCCGCCTCTCATTGGAGGAGCAATCGTCCCTGGAACAAAGGTGGATAACAAGAGTTAGCTTACCTTTAATGTGGTCGCCTTTGCCTCGCAAAAAGCACATGACGATGATCGCCACAATAATGACGAGCATGGCTGACACGACGGGAACGACGAGGTTGAGGTTTGCAAGGATTACCCTCATCGGAGAATCGGGGCTGAGTCCGCTCCCGACGTCCGGGAGTTCCCTGGCCGGGGCGATGGTACCTGAAACACCCCCCAAGGTTAGACAAGGTTAGTGGGGTGAGTCAGGTACCAGCCCCACCCTCTACCCGCAACTGTACGATATGCCAAAGGTTGTAAGACTTTTTTACCAAGCTCTCCCCCGAGTTGTGTTTTACATTAATTTAGGCTGGCCTAGAGGTTGCAGCATTATCACTTGGATTAATTCTATTGGTTGTTGACAGGATTTAAACTTGGAACCTCGGGGGCCGAAGTCCCATGCATTACCACTAGACCAGTTCAATCTGTTGACTACGTAAAAGACTACAGTCTCATAATCTAATCTTAAAAATTCCCAGTGAAAGCAAACCAAGACTGATACACACACTAAAATCAGAGTCAACTCTCAAGTCAGAGTCACTCAAGTTTCTACAATTTGTTTAATTGGCTGATTTAATACTTCTTAGGTATCCCATTCCTACAGTAAAGCCTTAATCAGTTGATCAACAAAAATAAACTTAAATTGGGCCTCTAACTGAGTGCATTGACGACTGATTTCTGTAAAACGGGGGATCATTTTAACCAAGCCTAGTTGAAAGTTTAACCCAATTAAAACCATAGAGGTTCCTTTACACCACATCATTTTAAAAACAAACCACAAAGGAGGAAATATAATTTTGACTGAAGCATAATTTAAAGGGTCATTCATTTATGTTCTGTTTAAATAAACATTGACAACAGCATAGTTATGTAGATGGGAAGTCAACTGTGGTTTTCACATGTCCATGATTCTTATGTAACTCTGGAATGTACTACTAAAAAATTTGAATTTTGCTATCTCATTCACTGTACCTCCTGTGATGGTAAGCGTGGCAAACTCGTATTCCGCCACAGCGAACCCTGCGTTGTTGTGTGCCGTGACTCGCAAATGGTACCACTGGGCCGGGTCAAGGTCCAGCACCACAAAGTTACCTCCGGGCTTCACATTGTTGGATACCTGGTTCCACTCAGTTTGTGCCCTATAGAAAGGTTCATTGGTCAATTAAATACTAAGAAAATGAAATCAAAAATACTTGAAGATTTTGGAAGTGATACTAGTTTAGTAGGAGGACCAACAGTTTTGAAGGTTCATTTCCAAGGACATAGCTGGTGGCTGAGCAATGTTGCCTGTTTTACAGGTAGTAGAAGTTTGCCGATTTTATTCTGATAAAAGTCAGTGGCTATTTTTGTTTAAGAACTGGACTGAGCTGACCATTATTCATTCATTTGGAATTCATTTGGATTTTAATAATACTGGTAAAAGAAAAATATTGATCTTCTTCGGTAACAAAACTACAAAGCATTTCACTCCATACTACTCTCTTCCTTCACTCACAATCAGCTTTAAAATATGCAAAATTGTTTCACTGTCAATAAATGAGAAATAACACTATAATTGGAAGTACTTTTTTGTTTGTCTATAACTTACTTCTTCTTATGTTCCACCACAAAGTACAGCATGGGACAGCCACCGTCAGACCAAGCGCTGAGGTGAAGCGTGATAGAGTTTGTGGACACTTCAATGAAGCGACTCGCTTCAGGAATGATCGGCTTTGATCCCTTCGTCCTTGTATTCAGCACATCTGACTCATCTCCTGTTCCAATGCTGAAATTCAAGTTTGTTAGTTACAGTAACAGCACAAATACGAACATGTCATCCAACATGATGATTTCATTACCAATTATGTAATGTTTTGATTGCAGAATTGTGTTTCCCGGTGCAAACTGGTTTAATAAAAATTGTCTGATGTTCTAGGTTCCTTCTTACTTGAGCACATAGGATCATATCCATATCACTTAATTTTGTGAAACTATTGTTTTACTAATAGGTGATTAGAAAAGTTCATGATTATTTTAAGAGAAAACTTTAACTTACCAACAACAAACTTTTAAACAAGACCAATAAATTAGTTTCAGGATTTACCATGGATGGTTAAAAAATATAATTAGAGCCTACATACTGTATATAACGTTCCTAAAAACTAAACTTTAGTAATAAGTAAAAAAAAAATTGTTTTATATTTTTTAAACTGCTGAAAAACATTGAATTTTAAATGTAGAGTACATCTTCTCGTGATCAACACTATAGTTATAAAAAATACCAAACGTTTTTAAACTTCAGTTAACTGAATTGAATACTCAACATTTCATAGAACCCCACCTGTTATAAGCAGTGACGGAGATCTGGTAGCGAGATCCACACCACAGGTTCTCCAAGGTGTATTTCTGAGCTGTGGCAGGCACCTGAGCTGTCTCCCAATCACCAAACTCTGGCTTGTACTTGACTGTGTATCCATGAATAGGCTCAATGTCAGCTGGGTGAGGCTTCAGCTTCATGGTGATGGAGTTTGTCGTCGTGGCCGTCAGTGTGACTTGGGGCATGTGAGGAGGTGCTGCAAATTTAAAACAGTGTGGGTAAAAATAATGTTAACTAACTAATTCTCTACTTTTTGTAAATTAACAAAATTGAATAATAAAAATAAACTCTGAGTTACTTAAACTGATCTTGTTACTGGTCAAAATGTTGACATCCATGTAACTTATGCCAAATTAAGACTTGATGTATTTCAACTTTGACCATGGATAAGGTATCCCAATATCCCATCCCTATGACAATGCTGTAGTTAGTCTTAGAATAAAAGTGTATGTAGTTGAATTTTATTTCTGACAAAGTTAGCTGCTGCAATTTACTGATTAGTCTTATACAAAAACTTTTCAACAAAGATAGATTGAAGAGGGAGATGGTAGCATCATCCAGGACCACATGAACTATCACAGTGAGGAAAGTTAAGACGAAAAGATTAAGAAGCATTTTTACGGAAGCACTTTGTGATAAACTTATTCAACTATGTTTAATAACTGAAAAAATATGTAATAACAAATTTGATACAAATGATTTATTTAGGTTGGATGTCTAACATAGAGTCCAAGACAATGGATTAAATCACCGATTGTTTTGAGGAGACCACGGTGGGGACAGTTTTCATTTACAACCCCTCAACTTCTATTAGTCAAGCACTTTTTAAGATAATTTTAGCAGTAGAGTCACCAAAATTTGATATTTGAGGTTTAAGAAATACCACCTACCAAGAACAACAAGCTGGTGTGTAACTGAATCTTGACCGAACGAGTTTTCCACAGAGCAAGAATACTCCCCGGCATCTGTCCTGGTGACTGCTTTGATGAGGAGGGAGCCCTCGGGTAGTTGACGCATGCGATCACTCGACTCAGACGTGTATAGTGTTCCCTTCACCTTATAACAACATAAATAATGGGCTTAAAAAAATCAACTATAGCTTTTATGACCTTTGCAACTAGTGAATATTTGTAGAGGGTTTAAAAAATGATTTGTGAGTTTAATTTCATGTGGATGACTTTGTTACTGTCAAGTTAGTATCATTAATAGATGGGAAAGAGTTATGTCAAGGCTGGTAACCATCCCACAATTGTTTGCAAAAAACTAATACTTAATTCCTATTTCCAAATACTTATCACTCGGAAAACTGCAAGTACTTCAAATGCTGAGGAATATTTTGAGGATTGGGGTATATCTAGAACCATGGGCTATAGATATCTGCCAGCGAAGCTATAGTTTAAACTATAGGAATGAATATGGGAACAGGTAATTAACCTATTTATTTAGAATTCAGATTTAAAAAAATATATAGGAGGAGAAAGAAAGAGCTGAAAAGACGTGAGCCACCAGTTGGACACCAAGTTCAATTACTCTGTTTCTTTGCTGTAGCCAATGCTGCAACTAGGGGAGCAACAGGGACAAAGTCAAGTCAAATCAATGAATTGGATTAAAATCTTCATCAGATTCTAACAAAAAATCAGTAAACTCATAACCTGATAATCCTTAAAATAATCACGCACCTTCCACTTAACCTCAGGCGCTGGAACTCCCACAGCTAAACATGGGAGTTTTACGTCTTCTCTGTAAGTGGCTGTGAACTTGTCATCGAAAGATGCAATCTTTGCTGGGACTGAAACACAAATAATGTCAATGAAGGGATAAGGGATGCAATAACACAATGGTTAAATAAATATGAGTAAGAGTATATAAAGTGTCTAGTTTACGCAAGTATTGATTGTTATGTTGTGCTACGTAAGGTTAACAGGTCTATCCTAAGAAGAGTAATGCTTCTAGACACAGATGTAAAATGTACAAATTTGATGACTTGTTGATGATGATGATGATGGTGTTATTATTAATGCTTTTTAAAAACAGGTGAAAGTGAGTAGACACCCTTACAAAAACAGACAAATGAGCTACCACCATAGGAGAGAAACGAATATGTTAATCTTAATACAACTAGCCCAAATTGCTAAAGGAACATTAATAGTTACTCCAATAAAATTGTCTACATTTAAATTATTTGGTGAATTATATAAGGTGAAAATGTGTGGATTTTATTTCGCGGATTGTCATAAAACAACATACCTCTGTTGCTGGGAGCCAACTGGACTGGTTTGGATGGTTGACCTTCTCCAATGTTAGTGGAAGCTGTTACCCAGAACTCGTAACGAGCCTTCTTCTTCAGACCAGTGGCTTCGTAGCTCATTTGAAATGGAGGTACCTTGGTGCTCTTAGGTTCCTCCTAAAACAACACAACGTGTTAGAGTTAATAGAAGGTAAATGTCCAATTTGACTTAAACATTTCAAATTGATGAAATCACAAAATAAGTGTTCCTGCTTATGAATATTTTTCATTTTTTATATTGAAGTACCGCAGATATCTGGTGACTATTTAGAACCAATTTTGAATCCAATAGAATGTAGTTGTTGTGAATTAATGTCTCTATTTTCTCTTTTGCTTATTGATACATAGATTTTTAATCAAAAGATTGTTAATCAAAAGAAAACCAGAAGTTACAATAATTTTCTCTGTGAATTTTTTTAAAGTTAGTAAGACAAAAGACAACCTTTGCACACCCTGATGGTGAGCCAAATTATCTGTGTTGGTTCAGATGTTGGACAGTATACCAATTTAAACAGGGAATTGTTTGTCTACTTTAAGGCTGTGTTATAATTAGTAAAATATATTATAGAGGGTTAGAAAACGATAAAAAAGACGTAGGATAAGATTTGGTGTTAATAACACTAATAAAATAAATAATGGCCCCTTTTTTATCTGACATCCCTGGAAGTAATAAACAAACAAAAAAACGGATAGTAAAAAACTTTTAACTTACCCTTAAATGGGTTTGCTAAGCAAAGTTTAAAAAAATGAATTTTAAATTTTTATACTATAAAAGACCACATGAAAACGATCCTACAAATGTACCTGATGAGTTACAAACAGGAATTACAATTTTAATTAGACTACATCGTGTGGGTCTAAAAGAGCTTTATAAGTTTGATACAGTATCACCAAAAACACCAACTGACTTTCCATTATACCTGCATACTTTAGGTAAAGTTGTGTTTACTATTTAAGAAAAAAAATCTATGTTTATACCCAAAATACCAATCACAAAAAGAGGGGTTGCTCTGATTGAAAACAGTGGGACAGGGATAGAACTTTATACAAACAATTAAGGTAAAAAGCATCAACTCACATCTTTAGCTTCTTCAATCTCCTCTTTGACATAGACAGTGTACTGCACTACGACTCCGTTAGGTTGAGTCGGAGGTTTCCAGCTAACCAGTATCGACTCTCCAGTCATCACCAAGGCCTTGACTGCTGAGGGAGGCTCAGGGACTGAAATAGTTACAAGTTATTCAGAGATCACTTATTATCTGATAAACATAAGGAAATTAAGGTATAAATTTCTAATGCAATTCAATTTAACAATTTATTTTAAAAGTTTAGCCACTTTTAAAGAAAGTTCTTCTATTTCTCTAGTCCCCTCTGAAGTCTTAATTTGCACATTGTATGGTTGGAAACAAATTAAATACAACAAAATTATGTTATGCTAGTTTATCCAACCAACCAGCTGAGACTGGCTGTTTCTTTCAACTGTAAGGGGCCAAAGTTTTGACAAAATTTCAAGGGAAACATTGTCCTGTTCCCATTTGTTTCTGCAGTTTATATACAAAATTTTAAATTCACGTAAGAAAGGAAGTAAATTTTAAATAAAAACCCAAACTAATCTCCATAACCGCCTTTTCACTTCATTAACGTGTAACTAAGGAAGATCAGTTCAATTAGTGGCGTAGTAATGTACGGGCAAGAGTCTACAATTAATCCTTGTTTTGCACAATTTTCTACATGGGTCACTTATGGATGTGATGAGGACTACCTGCGTCATTGGTGAGATTTACAATGCTGCTGGATAGGACAAATCATGTGCCATAATTAAAATATCAATGAGATTATTGAACAAAGAATTCATTGTCACCAAACCACCAGCTACTGTACAGCTATTGTATCTGTCGTAGTATTGTCTCACCGTCCTGTTCAGTCTGACAGTGAATGGGAGCGCTCCTCACTCCGTCACCTCCAGATGTGAAGGCCAACACTTGCATGCTGTAGTTGGTGTACTTCTTGAGGCCGTGAAGTATTGTTTCACTGGACGATGTAATCTTTGTGTCCTTTGTGTTTTCATCTATAACACAACAACATTATGTTAATTTACAGATCATTTGGGTTTTAAAATTTTTTTACTTAGGAATAAAATACAAAAATGGGTATTTCAAGAGTGGTTTGACAGAAATAAAGACTGCACACAATTTTTAAGCACTACCAATGTAAATATAACTTACAAAATAATAATGAGGCCTCAGTTTTGCTGAATGCCATATGTGTTACATAAATGCTGACTGAGTAATATTTCCCTTTCATGTAAATACATTTTGTTTTACGATATTTTTCAATATTTCAGAAATGAAAGCAGACAATGTCTGACACATAAAGCGATTTAGAACCATTTTTTAGAGACATGAAGCAATTAAATCGTTTAGAATAATCTTTATTAGCCTATAGTTACTTTAAAAGTCATTAACAAATATTTTATTAGTGCACAGTTAGTTGTGTGCAAATTAATTAAGTAATTTCTATATCTCAGCGCTGGATATATACTGAGAAATATATCACTGTGAGAGGATAAATATTTTAGACAGTTTTGAAATGTTGATACATACCATACCACGTGTCACTCGGCCCGTAGACCACCTTGTACCCCTTGATGACTCCGTTAGCCGCTGTGAGCGGAGGTGACACCCAGGACACCCGGATGGTCTGGGAGGTCAAGGTCGTACAGGTCGTGTCCTGGGGTGGCTGTTCCGGGATACCTTCGGCTGTGTACTGCCTCACCTCGTCAGACATCGGGCCAGCACCGAGCTTGTTGAAGGCCTGAACCACTACGCTGTACTGTGTGTAGGTCCTGGAGGAGTAAAAATTAGTGGTTTGGTCAACATAAATAAAAAAAAATTTTGATCAATTATCTATTTTGGAATTGTTGGGAAGAGAATGGTTTTCAGAGCCAATTAAACATCTGTAAGTTCAATAATACTCAAGAAAATATTGTGAACATAAACATAAATTCACCATCACTAACAATGAACTCCATACAAACAGAACTCAAGTTTTTTTTTTATGGAAGGTAGTGTGAAATTTGAGTGTATTTTGAAATATGTATGGTAACCCTCCTTCAGTCGAGGCTTTTGTGGTCCTTGTGGAATATTTTTCACGCTCTTAAGCACAGTGTCGGGTATTAAGGGTAGGAGGCTCAATTGGGCTATTTTTTACTCATAATTCTACTGAGCCTAAGCTTAATCCCTCAAAATTAAATCCTAGGTCCACCATAGTTTGTCTCTGTGGTATATTCAAACTATTCTTGATATTTGCCGCAATCAATACAAGAACACCGACTCACTTCAAGTTGCCAATCTGCAGGTGATGTTCTTTGCCCTCTTCTTTGCTGAACTCCACAGTCTCAAACAGGTAAGGTTTGTCTGATGAGGTAAGTTTGTATCCGACGTAGTATCCTTGGATTTCTCCGTTCCATTCTTCTCTCTCTGGTGGCTTCCAAGTCACTCGAAGAGTGTTCTGGTCCATAGCTTCCACCTTGACTCCCGTGGGAGGACCGCTTGGTGCTGAGGGGCAAGACAATTGTTCAAGGAATGAATTAAAAACATCACTCACCAAACAATCGTCTCAATTTAGCGTCTAAACATTGCTAAAAAATCGCTCATTTGTCTTGAAAGATTATGTAAGAGGTTTACTAAAAGAATCTAGGAGTATTCATGTATAGATTACTAGTAAAATATGCACCTAAGAATGCATTGCTGTCTCAAGTAATACTGCCTACTTTTTGTAAACCTTACATTAAATTACCTCAATCTTACCTGGAATTGTGTAGAACATACTACTTGCAACTTGTTGTATTTGCTACTTTTTGTCTATAAAGATCTCTAGACTCCACTCTACAGATATTTATACAACATAATCAATGGATTATTTGCATCATTCTCACCCTCCTCAGCTGTGATGATTGTGACGGTGTCCGAGGGATCAGACTCTCCGATCTCATTCTCTGCTACAATGCGGAGATGATACGTTGTGGCTGGGCGGAGATTGAACACACCAGCAACAGTGTTGGACCCTGGGACTAGGACTGTGTCTTGGTCTTGCTGCCATGTACCTGTGGAGGTAACATTGGTAACATAACATGTCTTTTAAAATGTCTTAAAGAAATGTTACTGAGTTCAAAACGTCTCCGATGAATGTAACTGTATCAATAAAACCGTTAAATATGCAAAAGTGAGAATCCTTGGTTTCCTATTTTAAACTTTTATAAACTGGTAATGTCATCCCAAAAGCCCCGGGGATTTTAAGCTTGTTAATATAGTGTCCTACAATGTAAAATAACATTAATTGTTTGCTTTAAGAATATATATGAAAGCACTAAGATAGTGGGTCAGATTTTGAATAAAAACTTTATAATTTTATCTAAATTGGCATAAATTGGCATGGTATACCGAAATAGAATCAATTCTATCAGTTCAGAGTGCTTAGAAAAATGCCATTTCAGCTTGGCTAGTTATAGTTCTACAATGATCGAAGTCTTATTAAGTCATAGATTGTATGAATATTGTTTCACTAGAGTAAAAAGATCTTGGTTAAAATATGTTTTAACTCAAAGATCTTGTAATCCTATTTTTAGATCATAGATCAGAAACACAAAAGCAGATCTCTTTGATATTGAATAATTATTCTGATTCTGATACAAATTATGATGTACTAATTACCTTTGGAGATTTTGTGCTGTATGAGGTATTTAGTGATTGGTGATTTCCCATCATACGGAGCATTCCACGATAACTGGACTGATCTTCCAGACTTGTCCAAAACCTTCAGACCATACGGAGCTTCAGGAACCTCTGCGAGAAGACAAAAACATCATGTTACCAAACCATCCACAAATACTAGAGTTGTTTCTCGTAAATCAACTTTTCCGTATTCATTTTGTAGCCTACAGTTTGAGGTATGGTACAAGGAGCTAAATATTCAGATTTGATTTATTATCAGTTTTTTTTTACCAGAAATACTTGACTTGGTTATTTAAGAAATCTTAATCAATATCTAAAATAATAATCAAAGATTTTATTTTTAACAGTTTCAATAGTCAAAATTTGGAACGTTTTCTCTTTGGAACATTTTTTTACAAAATATATATTATACTTGTATAACTTTATTTGGTAAAACTTATGAATGCAAAAGAGTATTTAGTTTGGATAAAATTACCCTAATTATCCTTTAGGCTATTATCATTCCCTAGTGGAAGTATCACTAAGCAATCATTAAAAAATTAAGTGATATCACTAAAAATCCTATTGATTTTAAATGATATCATTAGACATCATTTAATAACATCATCTAACCAAACAAACCTAGTGATGTAACTAGATTTGTTTTTAATGATATCACTAAACATCAGTATAGTCATTAGAAATAACTAGGATTAAATTGTTAATCATTAGGTTTCTACTGACATCACTATAATCATCAAGCCAGTCACTAGAAGTCATTAGAAAATTTAGTGATATAAACTTAAAATCACTACAATTGTTAGTTAAATGTGAAAGATTCAAAACTGACTGTTGGGTACAGCCAAGCAAACTCAATATGATGTAATACAATAATTTATTTCCTTATATTTAAATTTGAATGTATATTAGTGTTACAAGGTACATTGATCTGAGCTTAAAAACCCCTTTTGATGCTTTGTCAAAGAAAGTAGAAAAATTGGGAATGTTATTTAAGTTATATGAGGTGAACTTTAAATAAAACTTTATTGAATTATAATATTTTTGGAATCCTAACCTGTTTAGTAGTTTTATTCATTTATTTGCGGTATAACCATTTTTAAAGGGTTGACATGCTGACATTATAATGCAATATTGAAAGATTGTGATTCAAGATGAACGAAAAGTGATTAATGAACCCAAGTGAGATACTACGCCGATTTTAAAATATGCATTTTGCTGCAGATTTGTAGGCGAGTGAATTGTCGGCTGGGAATCTGTAACGTACAGGTTGTTACCTGTCCGCGCACACGGCCGACTAAAAAATCGGCCAGTCGCCGATCTTTCATTGTACAGTATTTCAATAACTATAAGATCTTTACAACCATTAAAACATGCTTAGTCAAATTTTTGTAAGTTTTGTTTCCAAGTTTACCCCTATTCAATCAAAGCTGTATTACCATATATTATTAACAGGTATTTTTTAGAAAGAAATTGTCCAAAAATCCGTTGTCCAACTTATAGTAACAGTTTATCAAAACTTTCAACAGAAATTCTATAGCAATAAAAAATTTTTTAATGTCATCACGTAAACAGTGTGCAGTTTATAAAACAGCCCATTTTAAAGTCTCTAACTTGCTATCCGATGAACCCAATATTTACAAAAACTTCTTTTTTCTTTGATCTAAATAGAAGAGCACAAACATAGGTTAATTCAACAAAGTCCATTTTAGGATACCTTAACAATGCACTCAAAAAAATTAATTTCTTGACTAAAAATCGCCACGTGTGCGCCTAAACATAAAAATCGCCACGTGTGCGCCTAAACATAAAAATCAACTGTGTGCGCTTAGCCAACAATTTAAGTGTTTAATTGTAAAACTTCAATTGTCTTCACTGTCCGGCCGCTCGAACGTGCGGATGTCCACAACCTATCTAACCCTCCCAGACAGTTTCAACCCCCAAAAAATGTCCTGGAAGACCTAACGCAGCCAAACGTGGACGCCCGAAAGTTTTGGAAACTACACGGGAAGAGCAAGTGCAGGCGGCTAAAAGGAATTATAGGGGGACGCACACTCAAATCAAATCAGGTATAACAAAAAACAATACTCCAAAGACCACCCTGAGGTAAATAGAGCGGCTGTTGGGCGTTATAACCAAACACACCCTGAGGTCAACAAGGCGGCTGTTGGGCGTTTTGCCAAACGCACCCTGAGGTCAAGAGGACAGCTGTTGGGCGTTACAGCCAAACGTACCCTGAGGTCAACGGGCGGCTTTTAAGCGTTACAGCCAAACACACCCTGAGGTCAACAGGGGAGCTGTTGCTCGATATAGCCAAGGACATCCTGACGCCTCTCGACAAAGGGTGCAGATTTTCCAGTTACATAATCCTTTGCTGTCTCACCTTCGTCACTTGCCAGCTACACTTGCTCGGCATATTTCTCAACACCGTCCTATGGGGTCTTGCGAGGGAGAGTTGTTGAACGATATTCCAGCTTTTAGTCTAAAAAAATTAGTCTTTGGGACAGTGAAATCTTCAAGTGTACCTACTGTGGGGCTAGGCTTTTTGAGGAGGAAAAGTGTTGGAAGAAGTGGTTTTGCGGACAAGGGGCATACACCGTCCTTGATCTAAGTCCTCTTGATGAAACCTTCTATTCCGATCGTTGTTTTCTCGACAGGGCTCGTGCTTACAACGACCTGTTTGCGTTTTGTGCCTTAGAAATATCTGTTGGGTATAGACACTCCAGTGGTAAGTATATCTTGATCGAAGGGAGAATGTACCACCAGATAAACAAAAGTTCGACACCAAGGCTGGGGACGTTCTTTTTGTAAATCGGTCCCGTCTTTTACATCGACAGCGAAGAAAGGCAGAACATTGCTTTGGTTAGATCACTTGACGGTGTCGTTGTTGCCTCTTTCACTTGATACCTGTCACAGCAAAATCCATACGTCTCTCACTATCGGTGTTTGGGTAATGAGCCAGCTGTGAACGCTCACTTGGATTTCCAAGTGACAAGTAGATCCACCCTAACCATGTTCTCGTTCTAGGTGACAGGCAAACAGGCATTGATGTGCACGCTGTCCCAAGCACCAACGAGACAGTTTACGAGCCCCACAAGCTATCTGTATGGAAAGTTGGAGGCTGCACTTTACTTGACGTCCTACACTCATTCGAATGAAAATATCGATTGATATATCAATTAATCGATTGCTTCATTCGATATATCGTTTGGTTAGTTAGGTAAGGTTAACCTAACCTAACTAACCAAACGATATATCGAATGAAACAATCGAATGAAAATATCGAATTGAAAAAACAATCGAATGAGTGTAGGACGTCAAGTAAAGTGCAGCCAAGTTGGATCCGGACGACCCACTTCTATCAACCTTTTCAGTCCTCTCATGGAGCACTTTCAAAATTAAATTAAATTAAAAAAAACTTAAACAGGCAAAACAGCAAACCCTATTATTCGATTCAATAGTTTCATCAGATCTGTTTTAGCAACTGACATTAAATTATGCCACATACAAAATATTAAAACCATTAGCATAACCTCAAAATATGGTCCTACTGCTGTTAGGCAAGGTGGAGTTGGAATTATCACGTTGATAAGATTGTTCAGTAGGCCTAAACCCACTGAAATTACTTTCATTGACATGATTGTCATTTATTAATTCTTCGTCAGTGTCAAATGAACCTACATCTGAAGTATCTGAACTTTCAGTTGTCAAAAGTATCAAGGTCTAAATGGAAAAGCTCTGAGTCTACAGACTTAATCAGGACTATCATTTTATTTGACCTATCAACAATTTGGCAATCTACAATTTCATATCAACATACTAACTTTTACTACAAAACAAAAACCTGACAAATCGGCCTACTCAATAAACAACACAATAAGAGCCACAGACGACAAATGAAACTAATGTAAACATTACTAATGAATGATGATTGAATGGATCACAGCTGAGTTGCAAAGAGGACTGTTACAGTGCATAGAGGAACAATAGTAGCCTATTAAAACGTATTTTGGTAGGTGTACTGGGAAGTGGTTTTATTTTAATACTGTATACTTTGAAAAGTGATTATTCTTCAACTGCAAGTCCATATTAGTATAGTTCCCTAAAAATATCAATTTACGATTTGCACAAACTATAGTGCTTTCGTCATCCGTAATGAAGAAAGAGGTGGGGAACGCAGGAACCGGAAAGACAACAGAACAAGTACAAACCAAACCCATAGAGGAATTAAATTATCTAAGTCACGGAAATATAATTAATTATACACTATTTATTGACTTTTTATAGTCATTTTGCACTGCATGTATATTTTGCTCAGCATGTTTTTTTACGCTCTAAAAACAACACAAATTTGGTAATACACAATACGTTTATATCTAATTTAAACATGTTAAAATTATGCATGTTATGCATATGGACACGTCAAAAAGTGGATTACATGTTGCAAAAACACAAGTGAGAGATAATAAAGTACATAACACATTCAGGCATTAAACAAAATAGTCAAAAAAGTCAAATACGTAGAGTAATAATTATTAATTAAAACATAAATTTTGTCTTACAACTCTTAAGATCATACTATTAAAGTAGACTATATACATGTTAAAATAATGTGGTGTAGTAATAATAGAGATCGATGGGTAATTGCAACTATAATTTCAACATGTAGCCTATATTTTTATTTAGTGCATAAAAAAACACGCTATGCAAAACAAACACGCTATGCAAAATATACACGCAGTGCAAAATGACTATAAAAGTCAATAAAAAATGTATAATTAATTATATTTCTGTGACATAGATAATTTAATTTCTCTGTGGGTTCGGTTTGGATTCTAGTTCTGTTGTCTGTCCTACCCTTGCGTAGTGCGTTCCCTTCCTCTTCCGCCATTACGGACTGGACTACGAAACGAAAGCGATAGTTTGCACCATTCCTACTATACATAATAAGCAATAGTATATTTACAAAATTACATAGAAAAGATTTTAATTTTAAAATACTAGCTACTTGGGATGTATAAAAAAATAAAATGTAAGCTCGATAAAACAATGGGGGAATTGCGGCACCATCTTCAAATTGAATGCTTTGAATTTTACGTCTAGTTCCCCGTAGCCAAAGCGAAACTGCTCGAATGATGGAAAGCTGGCTTTGGATTCTCAACCATCCGATAATTTGGGAGTATGGTTTTCTCCATTTTACAGCCAGGGCTTCGCTTGTTCTCCTCTGAAACGCTTCATATTCTTTGTGAGGGACTCCTTCCGTACTTGCAGGTAAGTTAAATATCTTCAGGCTAGGCCTATGATTAATTATTATCCAGACCTTAAGTTAGGCAAGAATCGCTTTAGTTTTGATCACACTTTAACAGGTGCCTTACTCTCAAATAGGCTAGATGTAGGCTACTCATTCTCAAATAAGTTAGCATATTTAATTTTGTTAGCCAATTGTTTTAACTTTAGTAGGCCTATAAGTTACTAGCCTAGGCTAGAAGTGGAGTGGGCCTAAATGACACAAGGCCTAATCAGCATACACCTTTTGCTAGGTAAAATAGGCCTAGCCTAGGCTTTTAAGTAGGCCTCTAGGCTAGGCCTAGTAGTGTCCGAAGTGACGACTCGCGTAGGTATTACTTGACTCGAGTCAAATCGACTCATGACGAAGGTAATTTGTCAAATAAGTTAGGTAGGTACCGTGACTCACCCAAATACCGCGATTCTTAATTTTTCTCACCAATATCAAAAATATTGCTGGTAAAAGGCTACGTTTAAACTTCATATAAGAAGTAAATTCAACTTTAGGAGTTTAAATGTCTGACGGCTGCTGGATCCATATCATCTGGCTCATTTATCAGTTTGAATGTTGACGTTTCTTGAAACAGTTGTTTTCGTTATGTTTTCTATAAGGACTCATGACTATGTCAACTACTTAGAGTTTTGAATTGAGTCAGACGCAATCAACTTGGTGCCATTGTGAAACCTCAGCCAACACAGGTGAGTTCGGGGGTTGCATTTTAAGTTAGTTAACGTTCTACATTTACTGCAATATGTGAGTAAATGTAAGACGTAAACTGAAGTGTAGCCAGTTCGGACCAACTCGCAGCGTAACAATTATCAGTTATTATAAGTTTAGTAATATAGTTTGGCGAGTCGGCTCGAATCGCATTTAGCCAATAACTTATCGTTTACATAAGTTTTGCGAGTCAAATCATTAACTACGCTACGAGTTAATATAGGTTCGGCTTTCTCAGCATAAGCTCGTTTCTAACTTACCCTTACTGCATTCCCCTTTGAGCCAATAGTGTTTAAGTTTTGTGAGTAAACATGTTACATTCCAAGTTCGTGTAGGTTCGTTTTTTTCCGTACAAGTTTGTTTAAGCGTTTAAGTTTTGGAAGTCGACGAGTTGAGTCAACTCGTTACATTGGTTTTAGGTTCGGGCAGGTTCGGTTTTCTCTGTACAAGTTCGTTTTTGACTCACTTTGAGCCAATAGCGTTAAAGTTAAGTTTTGGGAGTTAACGAGTTGAGTCAACGCATTACGTTCCGAGTTGGTGCAGTTTCGGCTTTCTCGGTACGAGTTTGTGTCTTTGGTCTACTAGCTCCGCATTGTTCTGGCTGGCAGTAAGTTAGGCATAAACTCTTGAGCTCGAGTTAAGTTATGGATGAGTTGACTGGAGTCAACTCGACTCATCACATCACTAAGGCCTAGGTTACGGTGAGTTATACAATTTGACTCACAGAGGCTAAGCCTGAGGATAGCTCCGGCCAGAGGAACAACTAAGTTAGCCTGTAACCATCAATGCTAAGAATGGATGTGTATTTCCTAAGTTTTTGCCTTTTAAGATAGATTTTTCTGTTATTCGGCTATTGTATAAGCTGAATAACATAACATGATTTTGTCTACCAAGCAGACAATGATTTAATTGATTTGAAATGTAGTTTTTCTAAGGAAGTCATAAAGTTTTGTTTTGACTGGCTTTTTAATCATAAAATTTGACATGCCTAGACCTAGCCTATCTCAGGGACATAAATTGCTTCTGAGTAACTTATTTTTCTCTAGTTAACTTACCTGCTATTGAACTTATTGTACTTAGGCATTTAAAACATCTGCAGGCAAGGTGATTGGTCTATAGGTAGGTATGAACCAGCATCTCCCGCCATTAATGGCTGTTAAATATCAAAATATGTAGGCCTACCCCAAATAAGGTGATTATTTTTCTAGACACAGAAGAAGAGATGGAGGAGAAGATAGACAAAACAAGAACAAGGTGCACAAACACCAAGTTTGCCGTTGATGCTGACGAGGGAACTAGCCTATAGGCCTTGCGAGAAGTTAGATAAAAAGCAAGTACCGTAAGTAAAATACAAACTAAGTTATCACAAATGCTAATTTATTTTACTGTTGTTCTGTGGAGAAACCTATATTTGATCTTGAAAAGCTTTAGGCTAAGCAACATATTTGGAGTAAATTAGGTTAAGTTTACAAGCAGCTTACCTTGCTTGTGACTTGTTATATGGCTATCCATTAATAACTTAACTCAGGGCCGAATGCCGATTAACCGGATAGGCACGGTAGGCACTTGCCTAGGGTGCGAGGTAAATGGCTTTTTTGGGGGGCGCCAAGAATTGAAAAATAAAAAAAAATTGGTGGTTGTATTTGCATGTGAAATCAGGGAAAATTGAAAATTCCAGCTATAACTACAAAATTAACGCATAATCGGTCAAAAAAAGTCACACATCATTCCTGGATTTCCTGGTCGGTGGACACCCTGTAATATATAGCCTATTGCAAATGGGCGCTAAGACTATTAGTTGTGCCTAGGGTGCTTAGAAGGTCAAAAACGGGCCTGATTAACTCTTTATGTGCTATGCGGGATATATCATTGTCCATCTTTTTCCCGAAGAGTACTATGGAACGATATATCGTTGTTCGTGTTTCATCCGAATATGCTATGCGATGATATATATCGTGCCGGTGTGACTTTTGATCGTGTGAGTATAAATAATGGGCATATCGGTTGACTCGGTTGTTGTTTCGAAACAGCGATGGTTTCTTTTGAGTCCTCATACGATTGAGGCCTGATATATAGTTCCTTAGCACTTTTGAGATGAAACATTTGATTTTTATCGATTTTTCTCGCACACTAGATTTAGCCCCCGTGTCAGGCATAACACTTTTCGGACAAAATATAAGTAGGTATACTACAACTCTAGCATTTTTTTAGAAATTTACAAAGAAATTCTAGTTTGGGTTAAACAATTAAGTTTTTTGTAAGTTAACTGTTCAGTAGGCATTTTACGATTTGCACTCTCATCGTTTTATTTTGTTTACATTTGATTGTTAATAAAATTTACCTCAAGTAAAATAAAACATAAATCATGAATTAAATACAATAGGTTTATCAATTACTTAGGCCTCATTCATATTTACTTAGGCTTCATTCATATTTATATTTCCAATAGTACATTTCAAGTCAAATCGATTAAGTTAAAAAATAGTTCAAGTAATATTTTTTTTTAAATTTAAGATGTAACTAGGCCAAGCCTAAAAACATTTATAATTCTAAACACTCAACACTTAACTTGACTGTTTTTTTCTACATTTTTTTGGCACACTCGTTAATGACATTGTCAAAGTTCATTTTTAGAGTTACATCACTCTCTGTACACAAGATTTTAAATGGTTTGGTTTAGTCTGTTAAAGTGTTGGCCTAATCCGACAGTTCCTGCAGGCACAGTTTTTAATTCATAAAAAATGAAATAGGCTACTTATTTTAGGCTTTTTTTAACATATTTTCACTGCCCAAAAGCTTTTTTCCACTCTCTTTATAAACTCACTGCTAAATTTGGTTTTTTGCTAATTTCACACAAACAGTGTGTGAATGTAAAAATAAAATATCTCGTTTAATAAAAATAAAATTATAAACAAAAACATGACAGTAAATTTAGTTTACTAACCAACTGATAATATGTTTCTCACTTGAGCAAAGAGAACTGACATTGGTGAGTAATGAAAAAATGACATTGATAATTAATTACAAATAAAGATTTAAGGCGGATCAAGTAGTGACATATGTAAGCAGTGGCAGTGATGAGTCATGAGGGAGGGAACCAAGAGTGAGGAGGATTCTATAAATTCAGAAAATATTTTCTGTTGCTTGCGCCCCAAAAAAAAAACTTGCGTCTAGGCTCATTTATAAACGCAGAACTGATGGCGGCCAGTTTTGAAACCGCAGTTTCATTGTCAAACCTCTTGCTTCACAATAGCGGATCCAGAGGGAAGGAAGGGGGCGACATTGGTTTACATTGGTCGAGTAAGCTCGGCCGAAATGGCTCGGCTATTCTTACTTGTCATGTTTTAGAAAAGTGGGTTTACATTAGTAAAGTTAATTCGGCTGAGTTGACGACCTAAGTTTTGATGATTACAAGTACAGTTATTGTGTAAATTATATGTAAATGCTCCGTAATACAGGTGTTACATTTCAAAAATGCTTGAAAAGGGTGTACAATTTGTTGGTAAAGGAAGTTGATGCATTGGTGAAAGAAAAAAATGAATAGGGAATTTGGCAGATTTAAAAATTATCATTAGTTGTTCTTAATTCAATGATGACCTTGTGTTTTTAATTCTTTGCTTCGCTTCTTGTACTTACACCAAACCCTTACTTCCCATATCTTTTAAAAGGTTGTCAATTGCTGTTTGTGGCATTTCTTTGTTTTTCTAAGAAGTGCTTTTGAGATTTAACAAAAAATTTGCATCTCGATACAACTCAACAAACTTTAATGTTTCCTCCTCTGTCCACTTAATTTTAAAATATTTTTAAATCAACTTTAAAATAACAAAAACATGTATAAGATTGCTAAAATGCGACTTGAGACAGCAGACTGAGAGTGGTGGGGGAAGGGCAAGTGCTTGAAATTGGTCGAGTGGCTGTCTCCTGGCCGAAACTACTCGACTTGTCCTCCAGCTGGGTCTGGCACTCGTCTCGCTTGTCAATCGACTCGTGAAATTGTCTTCACTGGTCAAGTTGACGGTAGAGTACTGACTCGCCTGTCTAATCGCTCTTTTACTCGACCAATGTAAACCAGGCTTAAGCGGCAAGGTGCCTTGTTGTGATGAACTATGAAGCTATACACAAAAAAAATCCCTAACTTAAAACACAACCCTCGTAACATGTTCCTCTTAGGTTATAACATTTCTTTTGCATTGTTGTTGATGAGTTAATATTTAATTCATGACTTGTTGTAAGATGTAAAAATATTGCATTTTTGTTTTTCATTGCTCTTTTTTTTAAATTAATTTCAGTTTTGTTAATTAACCACTCATTTGAAATTACAAGTTTAGGTTTAGGTATGAGGTCTTGCTCTTTTTACGTCTCTTAATTACTGACATGATTTAAAAATTATATTTCAAGCTCTCAAATCCAGTTTGGGTTAAAAGTTAGTATTTTTACCATTTGAAACCATTTTGTGCTGTTTTGTTTAAATGTACTACTGTAGTATAAAAGAGTCCTAAAGTTTAAATTGTAAAAATTGAATAGTGTACAATTTTAAAATAGTAAACTATGAATATTCTGTTTAGTTTAACTAGGGTATCTATGTAAGTATAAAATATTATTTGTGATTCCAATGTTGGTATTCTCTATAATATTATCTTAGAACTTTAGGAACTTTAGGAATATCTGTTTTTTTTTTTTTTTTTTAAAGAAGCAATGATTGTCTAAGGATTTATTTGCTCAATGCACAATTTAAAAATAATAAACTATAATTTGCATTTCCTTTTTAAGGGATCTGAAGCAGCTGAAGTGCCGTATATGTTGCAAGTTTCAAAATCCACTAATGTCTTGAAATGTGTGTTAATTTATTGAAAGTTAGTCATTGTCTTATTGTTATGTTTAAGTGAACTGAAGTTAAAATTTTATAGTTAGCTCAATGTAAATTTAAAAAATAATAAACTATTATTTGTTTTTATGTCTATTTTGTTTTCCACCTTTTAGAATTTATATAGCTAACTAAATTTCAATAGGGGTTTCTAGTGATTTCATTAGAAACATGAAGTGTCATCACCAAAGGTCAGTAAACTTGTTTAGCTTTATAACAAAAAACAAAGTGTTATAACTAAGTATCATTAAAAGTATTTAGTTATATCACTAAATATCATCACAAATAACAAGTTATACCAGTTCACATCATTTAAAGGTTTAGTGATATCATTAAAATTGTCTAGTGATATCAGTACACACCATTAAAATGTTTAGTGATATCATTAAAATTGCCTAGTGATATCAGTAAACACCATTACAATATTTAGTGATATCATTAAAATTGTCTAGTGATATCAGTACACACCATTAAAATGTTTAGTGATATCATTAAAATTGCCTAGTGATATCAGTACACACCATTAAAATGTTTAGTGATATCATTAAAAATTTCTAATGGTATCACTAAGTTGCGCTATTGATTTTAGTGATTGATTTCTAGTGATTTTTACTCGTCCCAAATCTCACTACTTATCACTAAATTTTTTTTTTAATGATTGCTTAGTGATTCTTCCACTAGGGTAAGAATCATCAAAACACTGTTTTTGTATCAACACTTTCCTGTAAAATATCTTTAGCAATCTTTAGCAAAGAAAATTTTCATTTAAGGAATCATAAAAAGATTTCCAAGAACAAAGGAACAGATACAAGATTATTATTTTCTTACAAGATATAGAGGATAAGGGAAACTAAACAAACCTTGAACAATGAGATTGATGCTGGTGTCATCACTGCCGAAAGCATTTGTCGCTACACAAGTAAAGAGAGCAGAGTCAGATCGTTCTGTGCTCTTGATACTAAGGTCTGAGAGAACTCCGTTCGGTAAGATCTCCTCACGAATTGTATACCTGTTCAATATAAATTTACCTTAAGTCACATCTTTTGAGAATGAACGCTAACACTGTTGGGGAAAACACACTGAAGGCCTAACAAACGTTTTTCTATCTAACAGCGTTTGATTATGAAGTGTCAACGGCTTAGGTTGCACTTTAGTTCTTTCTTGTTTATTTGGAACAACGTTACCGGATTAACTTTGAAATATTGGTCATAATCTTGAATGATTATAGATTTATGATAAGTTGTCAGTGCTAGTGCACTGTTGGACTAGTGATTAAATCCTGGGATTTTCGACTTTGAGGCCAAATTCATATCCCCCCAGTTACCATTGGCTTTCTCCAAGTGATATTTGGTGGGTTGAAACACATGAGTAAATTAGTATAATTCCCCCCCTGCAGAAAATTCCCCAAAAAAAGAACCGTGAGTAATAGGATAGTTTTTGTTTTCTTTAATTGCCAGTATAGGAGCACTACTGCATGATAGCTGGCTTAAAGCATGAAAACTAGAAGCAAAATGTTGAAATTTACGCCTGACTGAATTTTCCTCACTTTCTACCTTTATTTTAACAATAAAGTTATACAAAATTTAGGCCAATAGAAATGCTTAGTCGAGCTACCTTATACATCCACCGACATCTAACTTTTTTTAAAGATTATTACACACCTGTTAGAAATATCATTCTTGGGGTCGAGCCGTTTGTTGTCCATGTTCCACAAGATGCCAATAGGCTTCTCTCCCTTCGCTTCACACTGTAGTACAGTCGGCTCACCCACCCGAGCAGTCTGGTTACGCAGTTTGATCTCAAACTGGGGCGGAGCTGCAATCAAAAATAAGGTTGTGTAAGTGTTACATAGGCATGTTTTTAAAACAGTAAAATATAAGTTAACTTTAAAAAATCATTATAGGCCTACTTAAAACCATGATGATAACTATCATCGGCAAGGAAGTAATACGTTCTTAGAAAAATTCAAGAACTCTAGCAGTTATTAAATAAAATTATAATCAATTTGAGTCATGGTAAAATTAAAATCACATTTTACTACCAAGTCCTTAATTTAAGTAAAAATTACTAAAGAGAGAATTACCGTTATTTTACAAGCAAGTTATTTTTAAATACAATTTACTTTCAAAATCTCCCATTAAAAAAGTTTGAGTAATTATTTTTACTAACCTTGAACACTGATCATAATGACCGCAGAAAGTCCAGATCCAATACCATTAACAGCTTCACAAAGGTAATATCCTTCGTTGGTTTTCTGTATGTTGTTAATCAATAACGTTCCATCTTCCACTTTAATATCAGGATTGTTAGGTTTCAGATCTTTATAATCTCCCGGTGAATCCCCTGTAAATCAGTAAAAGGAAGGTCATTGTTGAGTTAAAACACATGACCTCTATTTTAAAATATGTTTAATAATTTTAAATGATTAGAGAGAAAATCAAGAGTGATTGTACATAAATCATTTGATTGGGGAATATGACTTAATTACATTATTAAATACAACTAGTGCCTTTATGCTAGATGTTTTTGAAGTGTCCATTTCATTTTAAGTCCAAAAAGTAATAAAAGCAAGTGAAAAATATTTCACGCTAACTTTATGGGTTGAACACTCCCTTACTAGGGACTACTGTTTGACCACGGTGTAATGTGGTGAAATATTTCATTCACATTAAAATTAGGGTTAATATTGATTATACTGTTTATCTTTTACCTTACTATAAACATTGTTAAGACGACTATTGAACTATAGTAAATGCCCTTATTGTTTAGTCTTCGGCAGCAACACTATTACAGTCTATAATTACCCTGTTGTACAAGCTAAAAAATTGTTAGTAACTGTGAATTAACCAGGTTATCTCAATTATTTTCATCCAAATCAGTATAGTGCCACATTACTTACTTACTGCTGTAACCACTGGTACCACATTAGTCTAAATAAAAATATATAAATAAAAGTATGTATAATTTAGTCAAGAAAAAAATTTAAACTGTAACACATCTTCCGTAAAATATATAATGATGTTATTTGGTCCAGGATCACTTCTTAAAAATTAAAATGGTATAAGATTACCTCTTTCCGTCTATGATCCTAAATTTGTTATTGTAATGAGCTGAGAGTCATGACAAAACATCTGCCCGTGCCGCGTCGTGTGTGGAACTAGTTCCCGAATTTATGTTAAATCGTATTCGCCCGTCAATGTCTTGTGTTTTATTTATTTAAATGTTTTGTGTTTTGTGTGTTTATAAAACTCGACGACCTCGCAAGAGTGACAAGAGCCTGATGATGAGGTTATAACGTCAAAACCGGTAGCTTATTACTACAAATTTAGGATCATAGACGGAAACAGGTAATCTTATACCATTTTAATTTTTGTAAAATATACTTGAAACAATTGGTCTCTAATAAATAAAATCCCAAAAAAGATGTCGCCTTCAACAGACTAATCCGAGATACTTATTGAAATGCTTCATTCTACTTCAAAGAGGGGGTCAATTGAAAAGGAAGAGCAACCATAAGACAATCATTAACTCAATTCACATCCCACATTAACACTATGCTACAAGATGGATATAAATCACCATTTCATCCTTACACAGTTGCATCTATCCACTGTATGAATGCTAGTATAAGTCTAAACATTCTGTATTACAACCAACCACTCACCAGACGCCCTTTTCCACGTAACTGAGGGCTTAGGGAATCCGTCGGCCTTACACTCAACTTTGGCATCACTACCTTGAGCAAAAGCTTTATCCGTTGGCTCAAGAATCCATCGAGGAGGAACTGCACAGACAAACCAGGGTTAGCAACACGTAATGGCTTCCTAAAGCCGTCCAGCACTTTGAAACGTTTCAGGGTTTATTACACAAAAGAAGAGTTAATTTTAGACTCAAGCAATTTTTAACTGAAATGTAAAATTATTTCACGAAAGAAATTTTTATGTTGGACACAGGTTGATAGCAAGTCTTTGGTAAATATGAAACGTAAATTTTACAAAGAGATTTTAGACTACTGACAAAATGTTTTCAGGGCTTAAAGTCAAACTAAAAAGCGTATAAATCTAGAGTTCAATACTTTGGTGATGAAATAAATATGCCATCCAAAACTTATTTCTGTTTCAAAATGCTAGAGACAGCTAAAATGTACACAATACAAAGTTAAATTCTATTTTAAGCTACAGGCCATATAGTTATTAAACATTGATAAATTTTGTAATTGAAAATAGAGTTGATTGCTTTGGTGTTAAAAACTTGTTTTTCTAAATTATTTAAACCAAATTAATAATTTACAAAATCCTTCAAAATAATTTTATGCATTTAGGATACGATGGTGGATAACTAACTTGAATCATTATGTTCCAAATATTTTCCAATGTAAAAATGTCCAATGTTAAAATTCATGATTTTAATTCAATTTTTTTTCTAATAATCAATCAAAAATGGCCTGGGTAGTTTTCACAGAAAAATGTTTTCAAATCCACTGTAAAAAAGTAGAGAAAATAAAGAAATTGTATATCTTTTGAGTTGCAATGAAATGTGGTCAATTATAAAATTAGAAGCATGTACAGTTTTAGCTCTTTTCTACATATGTATGGCAAGAATACTTTACTTTAGATACTTGTATTACTTTAATTGTAGATTTTAGATATGAATATTATTATCTAGTTTTACTTAAACATATAACCACATTTTTATACTTTTATACTTTTAATGTCATAAAGAATTTAAAACATGTTTCTGTGACTTCCCTAGATAATCTACTCAGAAATATCACTTGTAATAAAGAGGTTTAAACTTTTTATTTATACAAATCTGATAAAAATTCATTTATAATTTCAAGTGATATTTCCTGATAAAAGGCAAACATGACAATTTAAAAAACGTAAAACTAATTTTACATTTAAAGAATAATGTTAAAATTTTCACTTCATACTGTTGAACAAAATGTTATTATACTTTTACATTTGAAGTGTTGGGTTTGCCTTTTAACAACTGCTTAGAATATTTTACTGATTATTTAAACTAACATCAACATGCAAAGCCCAATTAACATGCAGCGTGTGCGGTGAACAGATAGCAAATTAACAAAACATAGTGAGTAACTTAATGGAAACAAAATAGCATCTACTCACTACTGCTTTACACTATCTACATTTTTAAAACTGTACAATATTCAAATATTTCATGGCGTTTAACAATTTCCCCATTTGGAAAGTACCTATTACTCTAAGCTTCATGGTAAAGACTTAGGTTTAGGAAGTAATTTTTTATTGGATAACTGTATAATAATAATGATAAATTAATGTCTGCTGTTTATACAATTAACAAATTATTTGTAAGCCGATAATATTATTGGTAATACCAACAACCCAATAAAAAAAAATAAAAAAAATTAAGGGTTTGTATCTAAAAGAAAAAATCTAGGTCTTACAACAACGATTATAGTAATAGCTTCTTCCCTATGGAAAATTCTGTAAAAAGGAAAAGTAATGTATTTTTTTATTTGAACAAAACCATTAGATGTTAAGGATTTTTACATGAGATGTTAGTATGTCACTTATTACGGTGTTAAAAACCAAAAGTAAAATATTTCAAAACAAAACGTCTGATTGTAAAGTTTACTTACAACAGTCTCCAATTTAAACTACTATTCTGAAACCCTTGTTGATTAAAATTTTATCAAAATAAATACATTTTGTAGTGGTTTAACATTGAGATGTTCATAATACAAACAAATTTTTAAGAATTAGTTAGTTTTGTCTCATAATGTTTTTCTGAAACATTTTCTACTCTAATTCTGTGCTGTCATGCAGACAGAGGCATGCTAAAGAAACTGAATAAAACAGAACTGAATCGGATAAGACAAGGTTGGACCTAACCTATTCCTCAGTTCAAGGATGGGCAGGAAAAGGATGAGATAGGATTGACTAACGCAGAAAATTCTGTTACTAAAACCTGCATGGAAAACAACTCTAGTTAAAAAGCCTTCAAGAGATCCCAAAATCCAAATCATCCCTAAAGTTTAAACAGACAAAGCTGTATCCTAATCAAAATAGCAAATATTGGAGCATATGAAAATTAAAAACTACGTCAAAGGATTACAAAACTGTCCTACCCTAAATAATAAAACCTTGAGAATAGTTTAAACTGAATAGTTATTACACGTTTTCTGTGACATAGGTTCCTTAAGATGAGGGGAAAATTCTCAAATCCAATAATATTAGTTTCACACCAAAATCACAAAAAACAACTGTGACAACACCACATGGATGAATCAGCAGTAGCATATTATCACACAAATGGTATGTACAATATGTAGAAAGTTCGACGGAAGCTATTATTTACGCAAGGGGTTGATACAAAAAGCCAAAGTTTCTTAAACTAGCAAAAATTGTAGTTGTTGCTTACAACATGATGAGTACTGTCTCCTATAATTATCATTAATCACAAAATAATAACACAAATTAACATTCATAATATTTACTAATATTATATCAGACGTCTAACGTCTACACATTAGATTAACATAGGTTGAGAAATACTACTAAGTGAATATGGATTATTATACCATTATATTTAAATGGATGATTTCTATTGTAAAAACAAAAATGATTTCTTGCAGAAAATATTTGTCCGGTATTCATATTTCTGTCTTCCTTCACAGCTTATTATAAAATCTTCAAACTATCTGGATTTTCCTGATCATTTTCATGTTGTAAAAGGTATATCCTTTACAAAATCTTCTGACTTTTTGGTATATGTTGTTCCATAACTGTCAATATGACGGTTAAAGGTTCGGTCTTTTAATCCAAGTCCCTTTCATCTTGTTTTGATTTATTGTATTCAGCTTTCGCTATAGCCTTCTTGATTTCTAGCAACATTATTTCCTATTTTTCTAACATGTTGTGAGGTAAGATATGCTCATAGCAAAATGATCTGTGAAGCCTTTACATGGTTCCATTAGCAGATGGGTCTTATTGCTCATAGTTCTGACATATATTTCATATGGAAAACCATACTCTGTCACTCCATATCATTCCAAACATTTTATTTTCGTAACTTAAAATAGAAATATCTAAATAAATATGTATTTTAAGACATATATACAACACTAAGTTTATTACTTCTCTAACTTAAAAAAAAGAATGTACTCCCAAAGTTTTCGAGCATTTTGGTGGATGTTCCTTTTGAAAATTCCTGATGAAATAAGAGATGAAAAATAGGAAAGATTAAGAGAAACAAATAAGGAAATAGGTAGCAGGTGTGGATGTGAAAGAAATATCGTTTCCAAACCACTATATGACCTTCACAGCTTCACATGTAAATAAAGTCAGCAGAAAACATTGGATTCAGGGTTTTGACAAATTCGCTGATATTTGTACTTTGTAGATAAAAAATAAAGTTTACACCGATCAGAGGCTAAAAAACTATATTTAAGAAAGATTTAATAAATTTACTATGTAATGGGTACGGGTACAGACAGTGCAAACTTTATTCAAACTAATTTTCATGTATAATTTTAATCAGACGATAGGCCTACTCTGAAAAAAGTTACAAAAAAATAAAGAAAAATAGATTTTTCCTACAGTTACCTAACAATGTACATGTTCTCTCACTGATTTGAGAAAGCAAAGTGGCCAAATCGCTCATCAGTGAGACAATGTTAACATTGTCTCACTCTAATTACTTTGTCTCACTCCAGATTTGCAACGTGAAGGCACGAAATAGTGAGCGTGTAACATGCAGACAAGGTCGTATGCGCGCGAAATATGTTGGCAGCACTGGCTGTAAATCAGCTGGTCAGCTGTTGTATTGTTGTATTTATTACTTCACATTAAATGTCATATTAAAAGTTCACTTCTGTGTAAAAATATGTTACGTTTCTTTATCAATTTATTTGTTTTATGGTAACTGTAGGAAAAATATAATGTGCAACTCAAGTGCAAAGTGCAATTGCCTCACTCGAGAAACCATTCCTCACTCGCCTACGGCTCGTGAGTAATTATTTCTCTCGAGTGAGTCAATTGCTCCCTTTGCTCACTAGTTGCACAAATAACTATTATGTCTAATAATTTAAATTTATCACTGTAATATTATAAAGTTATAGTTTAAAAACTTTTTTTCACAGCTAAAAATTTAAAATTCAGTTTAGAGTTGAAGTATTACGAGAGTTTTTAGTAAACAAGTACCCTATTTTAAATGTGTTTTAATTTGGCAAACTTGTTATATATATTTATACAATTTTTCCTGCTTTTTCACAGATAAAAGAGTTCTTCCATATTTTAGTATTTTAATTTTTTAAGACAAAAATGAAAACCACAGCAAACTTCATCATGATATACATAAAAAAACAGATGATGACATACATTTATAAAGTTTAGTAAAAATATTTCCCTTTTTTTAAACTTATTTTTATAATTTCTGCTATCAAAATGTTAAACCTAATCAACATTTTACAGGAGTGACTTGTAATTGAAAATCAACTTAGACAGGACTCAAGAAGGTTTCTAGAGTAAAAGAATTTTCCAATATTAACAACCCTACCACATTTATTTGAACAGTTGCAATCTTTTTACGTTGGTATTGTCCAATCAAGCTGTTTCAAAATATTAAATGCACAAGACCTAACAACCCTTTCTATTTATCAACCAACAAAACAAAATAAAACTAAAGAATCCACCAAAATCAATAAAAAAGAGAAAAACTAATATAGTGCATCAAGTACAGCAATACCCTTGACTTGTAGCAGGGCCGTGTGCCTTGCTAGGCCGGCTTGGTTGACAG